GCTCTCGACCAGCTGGTAGTGTCACACGCAGGGACTGCACGTTTTCAATACACCGCCGCAGGATGTCAAGGTTTACTGGCAAATTCTTTTCCCAAACGGGGAAATTCATTTTGACAGCCAAAGGTGCCTCTTTTGCGCGGCCAAGCATGGTCGAGAAAACGTGAGGTAGATTGGAGACGCAGTTCGCCCAAAGCGAGGGTTTTGCCAGTGCGACCGTGCGCCACCGTCTGCATACGTGTATGGATTTGATCCATCCGAGCTCATATTGGAGGATGTGTATGCCATTGCTACTGCGCGCTCCAGTCTTGCAAGGAGGGTCGATAGACGCCAGGATGTCAAGAACAATGCCTAAGCTGTCGTTATCCAGTCTATCGACGCCAGCACCTATATGGCCAACTTCGTTGTGAGACATCTTGTCCTCCAAGAATACGGGTTCGATAGCAGGTAATGTTCTGTATGGGACGATGGCGGTACGAAGGCAGGTTGGCGGCGCGCGGGTCTTCATCATCGGACTTCGGGGCCACGGCCCGGTTGACGCTCTTCGTGCCCGCCGCGCTGGCGGCTTGTCGCAAACCACCGTGACTAAACCGGTTCTTACGGTCTACGCTCCTGGATGCGCTTGGCTCCATTGACCGTGGCAGACTTCCCATTTGCAGGCTTGCTACCTATGTATGGGATTATTTTCCCGATATTCCAATGTCCGAGACATGCCCGAAAGGGTTCGTGTTTCGCATTACGCCTCTACACACGGAAGAGCACTGTGCGCCAGTAACGGAGCAGACGACAGTGCCTTTGCCTCTTGATCGGATATCCCGCGATCATGCGTGAGGCATCTGCCTACACTCACCCATAGCGGAATCGCCGTTGTAAAGTGTATAAAAGCGAACCGTCGAGCATGGTAGCCCGTTCCCCAACCCGGAGTTTGCAAGCATCTCAGCCTTCAACGACACACGCCCTTCATGGTTTCAACTACTACTCTAGGTGGCCCTGCAAAGGATGTCCTAGTTGCCAAAGTCGGCGTACGTATGCCCCTTCCTTCTTCTAGTCCGTCCAGCTCTGACCCCCTTGTTTAGACGGGACTCATGTTGTTGACGTGCGTGATCATTCATATTGAAGATCCTCAGAGAAGTGATGATTGGGATATAGGTGGACGCGCACACCTCTGCCGGATGAGGAGCTCTTCGAGGTGCTCAAGACGGCGATTGATGCTGTGCCCGCTGGAAGCAAGATGCTCTTCAACAGCGGTACATGCATCCAGTCGCGAATCCTTTCCGCAGTCTGACTATGTATCTTAGCTCAGTTTTACGCTCTCGATCTCGGGACCGGAAACCTCGAGCTCCTGGCGCGCTTCTTCGAGAGGTACCCTTTATATGCTGACAGAGTCTTCCTCACTGTCAATGTACGTCCTCACATCGGTCTTTGCGTATGCATGGAGCTAACGTCTTCTCAGGGAGGTATGAAGAACAAGATGGAACCCGATCCCTCGTAATGCCGCTCTACGTTTGATACGCCCTCATACTCACGTCTATCATTCAGGCCAGAGGGTCTTCGCGCCTCGATTGAGAAATGTGCCAAGGCTCTTCGCGGTACCAAGAAGGTCGACTTATTCCAGAATGCGCGTGTCTCACGCTTGACGCCCATTTCCGAGCAAATGAAGGTGCTCAAGGGTTTCGTCGACGAAGGCCTGATCGGGAACATCGGTCTGTCAGAGTGCAGCGCTGCGACTATTCGCGAGGCCGTCCAGTATGCGCCTATCACCGCCGTCGAGATTGAGATCAGCCCTTGGGCATACGAGGCTGAAACGCGCAATGGTGAGCCGGATTGCCTTGCTCTGAGCTTGGCGCCATTGTGCTGACAGTTGAAGCAGTCATCGCAACTTGTGCTGAGCTGGGCATAGCTATCTTCGCGTATTCGCCACTCGGGGTAGGGTTCCTGACCGGCGAACTTCAGTTCCCACTCAAGGACTGGCGCAATCTCGTGATCCGTTACCGGGATGAGGTACGCACATCACGGCCCTCCACGCGGTTGAAAGTTCATTTAAACGGCAATAGCATCGTGACAAGAACCTCAAGCTCGTCGAAGCCCTCAAGGTTGTCGCTCAGAAGAAAGGCATCACAGCAGCTCAACTTTGCCTTGCCTGGACCCAGGCTCTTGGAGAGCGTATTATTCCGATTCCCTGTTCGACGTGAGTACCGATCACAGTAGACGTGCTTGGGCGAGCTCGCTAACGATATGACATAGACAAACATCACATGTATTGGAGAATCTTCAGTCCAGTGACGTCAAGCTCAGCAGCGATGAACTTGTCGAGATTGATCGTATACTCGCCAAGTATCCTGTCTCGGGCGAACGTTTCTGGGAGGAGCACAACAACTCGCTCCAGCTCTGGGGTTAGGCTCGAGATAGTATATCGCAAGAAAGCTGCTGTTGCTGATGGTATACTGTGTCCTTATGTAATGTACTCCCACGACTGCTCAAATCCATTCTCGCCTGGACCCTACACTACACGCTCTTCTCGCGAGTAGGATGTTGTCAAGACGAGTGGAGATCGAGACTCAATTTAACTCGCTCAGGAACTTAAAAGTACAAGGTCATCATAAGACAGAGGACACGCGCGGACCGCCGATCACGTGCCGCTGTGACGAACTTAATTACGAGTACCCCACACTGAATGGGCGGATTCTGCTCTGACAGAATCCTGCGCAAGACTCTTCTAGACAAACTTGTCAAGAGCGTTCGTACTCAGAGTCCCGTCTGGGGTCAAAATTATTTGCCATCACGCGAATGAGTCAGGCTGTGACCTGTGGTCCGCGGGTGTCCTCTGTTCTTATCTTCCGGACGTCAAATTGCCACACGAAGTTATTGCATTCTATCTACGTGGCAGGACCATTTCAGGCGTATATATTCACGTTCTCTACAACGCGATCATCGATGACTCCCCCCTCTGCCAGCTCCCGCGCTCGCTGCATATTCCTTTGGTCGGCGAGAGCAGTCACTTGACGAGCGGACTCGATCCTCCACCACCCGTTGACCCGTAGAGTGTGCACAGGCAATCCGATCCGCTGACGATGCTCGAGGAATGCTAGCAAAGGTGACCACCAAGCGTTACACCAATCCGGACCACTGTACCCATCCCAATCATATGCCTGCGTGTCTATCTCATCACAGCCGATCGTGAGGTCCCGCAGGGCGGGGAAAAGTGGCGCCGCGGGCAGGCCGGTGTTGCCGCTATCTGTGGTCGAGACGAATGGTAGCCTCAATACATTATTACGGGGCGATATCACGAACAGAGAGGTGACGGCAACAAGAGGTTGAAGAACCGAGCGTAATTGGTTCGGGGTCATCACTGGTAGAGGACCGAAACCGTTCAAGACGAAATGGGTGACACTGTCGGAGCGCAGATGCGACACGATCTCGCGCGATATGTCCTCAGGCTCCCAATCCCATTCCTCGAGCTCTTGATCCTTCGATATGCTCATGAAGATACCCGGCGCCACTCGTCGAAGGCGATGCCCATTGAGCCGATTATATTGTGTGGCGGGAGTTCTAATGTTGGCGCAGCAGTGCTCCGCGGTATATGGGGCAACATAGTAGCCGAATGGCTCACGGCGGTCTTCAGTGTGAAAGGTATTCACATTCACGATACACGAGCCCATGTCGCTCGGATAGCACATGTAGAGAGCAACGGCATTATACGGGCACAGACTCCAACGAGTGCTGCATATGTCCAATGACTTCCGCCAGCCCGAGTCTTGGGGAGCAGAGGAAATGTCGTTGATATGAAACGTGCATGAGGGCGGGATGTCGATGTCATGGATGAAAATATGGGCATCATCAGGGACCGTTGAACTGTCCCATCTGATGCACACAGTTTGCAAGTTGGGAAGACGGACGATTCCATCATGGCGTTGCCCGCGCATTTGCGGAGGCGAGTAATCCATGTCACAGTGCAATATCTCGAGCAGAGGCGTGTTCCGAAGCAAGCCCGGGAGGCGCCCACTCCAATCGGAACAGCCAGAAGGGGCCAACAGTCGTAGCGAACGAAGTTGAGACGATGTGAAATAACATCGCAGTCCAGACAAGGTGGCAGCCCTAAGATTTGGGGCGTCCAGGCAAAAGGTTGATTTGGTGAGGGGATCGTTTGAGTCCGGCAGACGTGCGCCTCTCTGGGCAATATTGATATCGGTGAGTTGAGGAAGTCTCCTGCTAGACAACAATTCGTGGACCTCCTCGTGGAGACGGCCAGGGAATAGGCCCTGCAAGGTACGGGCACTTTCGATATGTTCCAAGGCAAATGTATGTTGATTTAGGCCGCGATTCATTCTTTGCAAGTTCAAATCGAGGCTTGCGCCTCCCGCTCTTTGAAGCAGTACGAAATGCGCATCGCGGCTGCGTGGAAAGGAGAATATAATCCGTTTCCAGAGCGCGGACAATGTTAGGATGATGATGCGCCAACGGCGACATACGTGGGTGGCAGCGACCCAGCCTAGACGACGACGAGGGGGGTGATCCGGAAATGGGTAGGAATAATAGGTCCTCCGGCCAAACGCTATCAGAGCACCCGAGATCGTCGACATTGACGTCCGCGCCGGCTCTTCATCGGCGGTGCCAGGGTCGTCTAACTCGGCGAGTTCTTCGAAGATGTGCGTGAGAACGTCATCGTCCAGTTCATGGATTCCCAGCACCATGCTGGATAACCTGTGTGCGGAGGTGTCTTGGGGTTCAGACCGGAATGAGAGAGGAATGGCGCTGATGACGGTGAAAAGGAAAGGTGCGAAGTACTGCCGTGACGATCGGTCACTGGGGGCTGAAGCGCTGAAGTGCCGAAGCACGACCATCTCGGCCACTCGTTTGCCTTCTTCCATAACATCGTGGGTAACCGATCATTCAACGTTGTGGCGTTCATATTGAGCGATTGTAGGATATCTCGTCATGAATATATAGAGCTGAGAGCATCCATGTACACTGACAGCGAGAATTGCAACACCAACATCTGTATCATGCACAGAGCAGCTCTATCCGGTCGATATGGTCGGTTGCCTGGTGAGGCTACCGCCCTTCAACACGAGCTTATAGACCTCCATCCCATCCCAATCTTCCGCCTTCCACCCTGTAAATCCCGCCCGATCGAGTGCTTTGCTCAGCTTTCTCTTGGGCACGCGTTCAAGCGAGAATCGCCACACGTTCACAGCCTCCTCCAACGCCGCGTCAATCACGGCCGGATCGCGGCGCTCAACGCAGAGGAAGACTGGCGTCGAGCGCGATGAAGAGCTCGCGCTTGGGCTGAGGGATGCGGCGGCGTGGAGGGTGCGCAGGAGGGGCGTCACGAGCGCGGGCTCATAAAGTGTATCAGCGGATATGATGGCTGCGAACGGCGGATGCGGGTATGAGCGTTCTTGAAGATTGAAAGTCGCTATATTTGTAGGATCTGCGGGCGCAGATGAGGGCGTGAGGGCGGCCGGAGAAGCGATGGTGCTGGCGTGATCCCAATTCCAGTGTTCGGGCGGCACTGTCCAGTCGAGCTCGCGGACGGATATGCGGCCAGCGTTGGGCGATAGCCGCTTCGCGTTGGCAGTGATATTTGGTTCGAGTACAGATGCTATGACATGTGATGTATCGGTGGCCTGTACGTCGTACCCGAGGGTCGCGAGAGCGAGGCTATTTCAATCCCGAGTAAGATGGGCGTCAACGGGGCGCAACCGGAAAGGGATATAGATTAGACGATTAGAGAGGGCTGTGTGCGGCAATGGCCGGCCGGTTAGAAGACGCACGCGGAGAAACCGATGCCGCTGCCGAGCTCGAGTATACATGGTCTGTGCGCGTCCGCAGAGGGCTTGGGAGCGGGAAGGGCGTCTGCGAGGTAGGAGGAGAGGACCTGTGCTCCGAGCCAGAGCGCTGTTCCGTTTGATATGCCATCTGCGCGCTGTGAGAGCGAGAAAGCTGAGGATTGGAAACGGGTTTCGAGGATGGGCAGATGCTTTGTATGATGAGCTGGGAGGGTCATGGCAGAGGAGTAGCAGGAGGGCGGTGAATTCGGACGCAATATGAACACAGGCACACGGGTTGAGCTTTCCGGCCGCGCCGTCCACACGTTGCTTTCGACTTTGGACCGAACCCTCCACCCTCTCTGTACTGCTCGCCCAGATGCGGGCGCTCTTCAATAAATTCACGGGGCTCAGCCGGGGGGAGAAGAAGGAGGCTGCACCGATCGTACGCGAAAAGCCGGCGCTGGGCAAGTTGCCCGAGTGGCCGCCAGTCGCTCCAGTGCCCGCCCGCACCTCCTCCTCGGGCTCGAGCACCAAGCCATTACCCGATATATCTTCAAGGCTCGACACTCCAGAACAGATCACGCCGCAGCGGTCACAGGAGAGCGGGTCGTACGCGCGGGGGCCGCTGTCGGACGTGCTCGAGGAGGGCTCGGACGCCACACCGTCCGTGCAGCCTGCCCAGGACTCTGCCGGCCGGAGCAGCAGGCGGCGTGAGAAGGACAGCGAGCAGCCCAAGAAGACGGTCGCGTTCATCAGTCCGCCCCCCACGCCCGTCGGCCTCCAGGCGGTCCGCGACCTCCCTGACGACGACGACCGCGCACCACAGCAAATATCCAAATCCTCCTCCTCGCGCCCGTCCAAAGACCCACGTGGATCAATGTCGACCGCCGCGTCGGGCTCGAGGACAGACGTCGGCTCGAGCCGAACCACCGCCAAGCCGGCGTCCACCCGCGGCGGGCCGTCACCACACCCTGGCCGGAACTATACAGATGTGGCCTCCATCCAACAATCCCTCCGCTCCGGCACGCCTTATTCTCAGCGCTCAACTTCCACAAACATCACCGTCAACCCGCCGGCTTCGTGGTCGGAAGGTGCCGAGGGCGACCTCGTTTCCAACCTCGGCGCACGAGAACGCACGCGGCAAGAAGTCCTATGGGAAATCGTCGCTAGCGAGGAGCGGTAAGCCGCCAATGTTTGTTATATTTCATTCATGTGCTGATATATTCTCAAGATACGTCGCGGAACTGGTCAAGATGCGCGAGACGTTCATTGTCCCGCTATTGCACCCATACGCGACGTCACCGATAGCGTCGCCCACGCTCGTCGACTACGACGAGTACCCGCGCTACGACTCGCCCATCGAATCCCTCGAACACCTCCCCATCGCATCTCGCTTCCTCTCTCCCGTCTCCTTCCGTTCCGACACACCCAACACAATCGCCTCACGACGCGACGGCAAGGATACTCCCAACATTGACACCGAGTCAACTATATCCGACGATGACGACGACCAGATGGCACGCGCCTACTCTGGCGACTCCAGGAGGCACCCGCCGTCCTCTGCCATGGCCAAGCACAATCATCCGCGCTCGCCCTATGGCGCGTCACGAAAGGGCCAGAACCCGACCGTACCTTTCCCCTCACGCTCGCACCACTCCCTCCCACCACCCGCCCGCCAAAACCCCGGTGCATCAACGACCTCGCTCGGTCGACAGAGCTACATCGGTCCCTCTGGCGATTCCACCACTGCAGCCAACACTCGAACAAACGGCGGCAAGGCGACGCCTACGCCGTCCAGCCGCGGCCTGCTGCGCAAGTCAAAACGCAGTTTGAATGGGACTACCAACACCACCGGCTCGGGAATTATACCCAACGGAGGTGTTGCGCCGCATCAGTTGCCGGATGATCTTAGGCTTTGTCTTGAAGCTGTCGAGAGCAGGATTCTGGAGGGTCATCTCAAGCTTAGTGATGGATTGAGGAAGAGGTACGAGGAGCAATACCCGCTCGTGCGGTCTCTGGCGGACGTCTTTGTCGCGAATGTGAGCACAATCTACACATCTTCATGAAACGTTTATTCTGACGCAGTCTTTTAGTCGCACATTCTGCGCGGATACGCTGACTATGTCCTTCACCTCGAACGCGCGCTCGACCAAGTTCAAGAAGCGCTCACCGCCGTCTCCAACTCCAAGCCCTCCAAACCCTCGAGCAAGTCCAAGAAGCCCGACGCGGACGAGTGGGCCAAAGTCTGCGCCGTCCTCCGCCGGCTCGAACAAGACGCGAACGACAAGGGCGAGACCGGCCTCGCGATCTCCTTATCGAAGCCCTTCCAGCGCCTACTCAAATACCCGCTGCTCTTCCAAAACCTGCTGTTCCACACGGACCCCTCTACCTTCGAGTACGAGTCCACGCTGCAGATGGTCGCGGAGGTCGAGACGATCGTCAGGAGTATCGAGGACGACAAGATTCAGAAGGAGGAGCGGGACAAGACGCGCGATGTCCTTGCGCGCATTGACGGGCTGGACCGCGTCAGGCAGCTGGCTGCGCCTAAACCCTCACGGGTCTTACTTGAGGAGAAGCTGCTTGAGCCCGCAGGGGACAAGGGCAGCGGGTCCAAGGGCACCAGCACGCCGCCCCCAGCCGCGAGCGCCGGCGCATCAGGTGCGGGCGCCGGCGCGCCGGGTAAAGCCGTCAAGGGCAAATCCAGCCTGAAACGCTTCTCGGACGCGTTGGCACCGGGCGGCGCGAAGAAAGATTTGTGGCTCGTCGTGTTCAACGACGTCACGCTCCGATGCCAGCGGACGGGGACGACCTCGTTACCACTGGGCAGCGCACACTCCGGCTCGTCCTCGCGTGCGAACAGCATGCCCGAGCTGCAAGGCGGCAAATCAAAGTTCGCGTCCGCAGGCCGTCGCGCTTCCCACGCACGTCCCCGCAACCTCTACAAATTCGTCAAGGTCGAGTCCTGGTCGATCGGCGGCGTCGCGCAGCCCCGAGAGGGCGTTGTGAGCATGGACGAGGTGCGCTCTAGGCAACAGGCGCACTTAAGCGTCCAGCCGCGGATCGTGCCGATGCCGGAGGAGAATGAGGACGAGGACGGAGGGATGGACTCGGACGACAGTGACAGGAAGAGCAAGATGAGCTTCTCGTACTGGGGCGCGGACAAAGTCACGTTGCAAAAGCCGCTCGTTAAGCCGGGTGCGGTACGCGGTGCGGCTGTTCACAGCAGGACGGCGAAGCCCGGTGTAGCTTCTGCTACGGGCTACTCGCGCGAGTCAAGCGCAAACGCCAAGTTCGGGACGAGACTTGTGTCCGGCGAACAGCCTATCGGTGCTGCCGCGCGGCCATCGAGCAGGAGCACAGTTACGCGGACGCCTGTGCCGCGCGCTGGACGGAGCGACGACGGGCACCAGAGCGTCAAGGTCACTACGACGCGCCCGGAATGGAACGGCTCAAGCACTACTCGACGCGCTGGCACTAGCACGCCCACGGCTGGCCCTGCGGCTGTGAAGAGGCCGAGGAATACGAGCGGCCCGAGTGCAAGTGCTGTGGCGACGAAGACAAAAGTCACGACGGAGAGGACCGTGGACAAGGTGCTCTCCAGTCCCGCTCCGAGCGAGGATTCGGGGATCGGGCTGTACAAGAGATATCAACAACAAGAGACCGCCTAAGCGCTTTCTTGCCTGGTACTTCGCACCCTCCCCCTTCCCTCAAACGCACGTCCCACACCCCCGCCCCGACGCCACTCTCCACCCACGTCCATTCGGTCAATGCCATACCCTCCCTGATATCCTTTCCTTTTCCCTCTTGGAACTCTCGGCTGCTTGAACGCTCCCTCTATGATCTGACTTGTGTCTGGATACCAAACCCCTGCCTCCCTGTGATAGTGATCCACCGTATACCTTATTGCTCAACCCGCGCCATATCACTACCGATCGCGCCGTATTCCCCATCTTCCCTTTACTCCGCCTCCCATACATTCCGTCTGGTACTCTGGAACACTCCTCCCATGCAGACGCTCTCTCTACCGCTTTCTCTCCTCTCCATAGTCGTAGTACCCCCGACCTGAACCCCCTACCATGCTGCTCGCCTCGCCTCGTCTCTTTGCCTCTCGTGCTCGCACCCATCTATGACCTACTCGCTCACTCGCCCCTTGCCATTCCCGCTGCTGCCATATTGCATCTTGAACCCGACACGACGCTCGTTACGCTTCGCTCCGTACATATGACGACTCGCATCCATGTTCATGCCCCCCTTCTCATCGCTCGCCCTTCTCCTCGGGCCCCGGTTTTGCCCAATTACTTACCCAATCACGTCACGCTCTCTAGTCTCTAGTCTTTTCCTCGTACGCTACAGTATAGTTTGTTTGATACCGATCCGTCCGAGTCTTTTCTGCGTCAGTCTCTCGCTCGCTCGCTCCCTACTAGCTAGTCCTCCTTGTTTGATCCCTTTGCCTCTTTTGTTTAGTGATTTCTTTGATACTTAGTCGTAGTGCTATGCGCATAGATGTGGGATTGTGCATAGGTAGTAAGCTTTTCAGTGTATCAAATCGGTCGCTGTCCAACTCGGGCGCTTATACGCCCAGATTGGCGCGCAGAACATAAGCGCGGGAGAAGCCGTGACGCGTGATGGGATGAACACTTCCGCCGAAAGTCGAACGGCGCCTCTTCCAGGCCTTCCCTTACACTTCCATCTACATATGTAGTCTGATCAAACCTGTTGGATCGGATAGCGCACCGATGGATATCGTCCTCGGCTGCCGCACCAAGTGTGAGAGGAACTTGCGGTACGCATTGGCGTTAAACGGCAGCGAATAATCGCTAAGGCCCTGTCCCTCTTATATTAGCCTCACCCTTGCTTTCTCTGGCCACTTTGGAGCTCGAGAGTCCACTGCAGTGGCCTCGCGCTGAGCGTAGATCACCTCCTGACCCCCGCTCTACTTCCTTTTCTCGAAGCCGCCATGATGTGTGACGTCCACATTCGGCGTAGGATGCGATGATTGCTGAAATGCGTCCCGGCGGCTCCATGGCGGCTGTCAAACAGTTGAATGTTGCAAGACTCTACACGTACTAACGTCCCCTACACCGGGAGTTCTACATCACCGTAGATTGAGCCGAGTATATCTGGATGCTGCCGCCGGATAAATTGGGGCAACACTGCGGCATCGTCTTCTCCCCTTGTCCGCGATCACAGCCGAGGTCGCGATGTCCTTCACGACACCTTCATTGCTGGATGCCGCTGCTCTCGTTGTAGCCCTATATGTGGCCAAACGCCTTTTTTCTCGTCTCACGTCAAATAATCTGCCGCTTCCCCCTGGGCCCTCAGGACTGCCAATGATCGGCAACGCACTCGAGATGCCGACGGTCAATCCGTACAAGGTGTACGAGGAGTGGGGCCAGAAATACGGTGAGTGACGATTCCAACAAGTCCATCCTTCCAGAACTCTCACGCCAACTGAAGGGCCAATCATGCATCTGTCCGCGCTAGGCCTGTCATTCATCGTCATCAACGACCTGAGCATCGCGACGGAATTGCTAGAAAAACGCGCCGCGATATACTCGGATCGCCCGACGCTGCCGATGGCCGGCGAGCTCTCAGGCTGGGACCCTTCGTTGCCGCTACTGCATTACGACGACCGATGGCGCGCTCAGCGGAAGTACTTCCACACCTTCCTCGGTTCGCGTGCATCGCTCAATCGGCACGAGTCTCTGCTCGAACACGAGGCGCGCTTATATCGCTGCGACTTATGCGCGCCCCGCAGACGTTGGACCAGAGTATTCGCAAGGCGACGGCGGGCGTCATCATGAAGATAACGTATGGATATGATGCATTGCCTGATGATGATCCCCTCGTCACGCTCGTGAGCGAGGCCATCATGGAATACTTTGGGGGTCTGACGGAACCGAGCAAGGTCTGGCTTGTCGATTTCTTCCCCGTGTGTACGTGTCTTGTGCATAGGTCTGGCAAGCAGGTTGGACTTACCCGAATGTACGCAGTGAAGCATATTCCGACATGGTTCCCCGGTGCTGGTTTCCGCAGCATCGCGGCAAAATCTGCGGATATGGCACATAAGATGTCACAGGTTCCCTTCGACCTTGTAAAGGAGCGGATGGTACGCGTCCTTCGCTTTTGCATCACGCGCCAGTGACTCATGCTGGGTGATTCCCCGTTACAGAAACAGGACACCTCCCAACCCTGTATGGCTGCGGACTTGCTTGAGCAATCTACGGGTGGCGAAGACGAGGAGCGCGAGATCAAATGGGCCGCGACGAGCATGTACGGAGGTGCTGCAGATACTTCTTATAGCTCGACATCTTCATTCTTTCTGGCGATGACACTCTTTCCGGAGGCGCAGAGAAAGGCGCAAGCTGAGATCGATGCCGTCGTCGGACACGACCGTTTTCCCACGCTTGCTGATCGCCCGAATCTCCCGTATACCGAGGGTCTGTTCAAAGAGGTCATACGCTGGGCGCCGGTCGTGCCTATGGGTGAGCTGCTCTCCGACGTTGCTACGCATTCTATCGATCTGACCGGTTGCGGCAGGTCTACCACACCGGCTTCCAAGACGATGTCTTCGGGGAGTACCGCCTACCTTCAGGCGCCGTCATCCTAACCAACATATACGCGATGCTTCATGATCCCGCCGTATACGCAGCTCCGCATGCTTTCAAGCCTGAAAGATACATCGCGCGCGATGGGACGCCTGGGGAGCCGGACCCTCGCGCGTGCTTCTTCGGCTTTGGGCGCAGGATATGCCCCGGTCGGCACCTGGCAGACATGTTCGTGTGGTTGTCGATGACCATGGCACTCGCTTCACTGTCTGTGAGGAAGGCGCGGGACGAGAGCGGCGCAGAGATCACACCCGAGGTGCGCTTCGTGGATGGCACGATCAACCATCCCGTCGCTTTCAGATGCGAGATCCAGCCGCGGTCGACGCAGGTGGAGGCCCTTATCGCACAGGAACTCACACAATTTCCTCGAGACCGCGATTGAGCTGGACTCGGTCTGCCGTTCCCGGTCAGCTTGACGTAGACATCGTCCATAATGCGGCCGCAGACCAGCGCTTCAGGTGTATGCATCGGGATACTCGCTCCCGTAGTATGACTCAGAATATCATTGATATCGCGAGGACGGAAACCGGTGTCATCTTCTGGATCTTCTGTTGAAAAATCTAAGGATTGCTCTAAGCTTGGCCAGAGAAGAAAGAAGCGTCATCTTGGCATAGGCCATGATTGGTGTCTAGATGCTTAACTCATCTGCCGTCGCACTTACTTGATATAGCTGTTGGTCACGCGCCTCGGTATGGATACTTGATCGTTCTTCTAGATACTATGCGCTCGTGCAGGAACCCGCTCTCAAAGTGGCTTAATCGTTCTACCAGATATCCACTCGCACGGAACCCACTCTCAAACCAATACCTTCGTGAACCTCTTGACGCGACGATCCACCTCTTCACCGAACGGCTTTATATATCCGTGCTTGACTTTCATACACCGTTATCTAGTGTCTCTTCGGCCCATCTGACAGACACGTTGCTTTCGCAATGTCCCAACAGAAGAGCGCTTTGAACGTCGTCATGGTATGCATGCTCTCCTCTGGAACGAGTATTAGATGGAGAGGCTGATGTTCATTTCAGGGCGCGATGACCTTCGGTTATGAAGGCATCGACGGTGCGCGTATACATACACCCGACGCCGTCTCGGAGGTCCTTGATGTCTTTCAGAAACACGGTCACAACGAGGTAACGCAACCGGTGCTCTCCCTCAGAATCAGCACAGGAAGACTGAACGATGTGCAGGTTGACTCAGCGCGCGTATATACGAAGGGTTCATCTGAGGAGCTACTCGGCAAGGTCGATCATAAGGCCCGTGGGCTACTCTATGATACAAAACTCTACCCAGTGCGTGGCAGCTGCTCACATATGTTCCCATCCAGTCATGAACACATGTATGCGGCAGCTTGGCGTAGTAAAGGGCTTGAACAAGGTGCTCGATGATATGATTGCCTCAGGGACCTTCACCGTGATATCACATAAATCAGACGTACGCTGCCTCTCTCTTGCCCTTCAGCAGCATAATATGGACTGATCGCTGTTTAGAGCCTGCGCGAACATCTCGACAAGTCGCTCCAAGCCATGAATACCGAGTGCGTTTCATCCCTGTTCACCCTGTCAAGATCTGCTGCTTACGGCGCTTCCCAACACCAGCTGCCTGGAGATGTGGTATCTGCATGGACCGGATCGTACAACCCCATACGAGGAGACGCTGCGTGTGGTCAACGAGCTTCACAAGGAGGGCAAGTTCAAGCGTTTTGGAATCAGCAACTACTACTCGTACGCTTTCTACGAGTCTCTGCGTAGGAGTGCGTATTGGCTGAGCCTCATGCAGCTGGGAGGTCGCTGAGATCGTCACTATCTGTCGCCAAAACGGTTGGATCCAGCCTACCGCATATCAGGGTATCTACAACGCCATCTACCGGTATGCTGGGGTCGGATACCATGCTGCGCGTTTAGGGTTGGACTGATAGCCGTTCTGTACAGCGGTGTCGAGCCTGAGCTCTTCCCTTGCTTGCGCAAGTTTGGCCTCAGCTTCTATGCTTTCAACGCCCGTAAGCTCAGCCCAACGCCAGACTTTGCCGCTTACCTAGCCACTTTATGCAGTTGCCGGAGGGTTTTTCACTGGGAAGTACACGCCGCAGACTCAAGATAGCGACACTGCTGGCCAGCGTTTTGACCCTAAGGCCAGTGTAGGTCAACTTTATCGTGCACGGTCAGTTCATCATCGTGGAACGCGAACTTCAGTCCTTGACGTGACGTATTCCTGTGCCATGTGTAGGTACTGGAATGACCGCTACTTCGCGGCACTGGAACTCCTACGTCCGTTGTGTGAGAAGCATGGATTGACTCTTGGCGAGGTTGCGCTTCGGTGGATGTCGCACCATAGCTTGATGAGCCGCGAGCATGGGGACTCGGTCATCATCGGCGCCTCGAGCGTCAAGCATCTTGAGCAAAACCTGCTCGATCTTGAGAAGGGACCTCTACGTGAGTTGACCAAACTCTCGGCTGTAGCCAGGAACGCAAGCTAACGGGCTGAGTGACTATAGCTGAGGATGTCGTCAAGGCGCTGGATGAGGCTTGGAGTATCGTCATGCCGATCGCGTACAAGTACTGGCACTAAGGGGGATGTGTTGATACAGGAAGTAGAATGTGTCGGTGCTACAGTAGTATATCTACTAGTGTACATGTTATTCAGTCGATCTCCTCGGTGGCGTATACAAAGTTCATACCGGTATAGCCTAGTCAAGAGACTCGGACTCCCTCTACTTCTTCAGCTCGTTGTAAGCCTTGATCAACGCCTCGAAGTCGTGGGTGCCGCGCCTTCTCGAGTCCAGTTATCGAAGCGACCGCGTCCTCGATGCTCAGCGTTGGTACCTTCTCCTGAAGCTCGACGCTCTCATTATCGTCCTTAAGATCGAATAAGAAAGTTGCAGCCACAGATCGAAAAAGGTTATCCGTGGACAAATTGTACAGGCGCGCCATGCAGATGGGGCCCAGTTTTAGGGTTACAAGCGAGGATGTGATGACCCCGGCGGTCATCACGAACATGCCGTGGACAATGGACGATGGTGGGTGGTGGAGCGCGCGCGTTCGCGCAGTCGCGCCACCTCGGGCTGGTCTCGGGGTTTGCTCCCACGCCCGAGCCGCGCCTAGTTCGCGGCGCCGGCGTTGAGCTTCCCTACCTCGAACAACGACCCTCCTCGGGCTTGTATCGGGTTGGAGCTCTTCTACTGCTTCATGTACAAGGCTGCGCGCTGCGTATAATGACGTAGTTACCTTAGAACAAGTATAAAAGGACTGAGCCCATGGACTCGTTTCGAACAATCGATCTTACCTACAATCTTACCCTTTTCCACATGCTTCGCGTCTATTGTACACTATCTATAGTAGCTAGAGTCCAATATACGTCCTCAACAGGCCCTTAAGTCGAATCCCTCACTCGGAACCCTCGAAAACCCAACACCCAGGAAGCGGTCACGCCGTCCAAGCTCGCGCAGCGTCTGCTTGCCAACCCCTGAATACAGGGTTCCCGAGGGCCAGATTACGCTTTGTGGCTGGCATGATAAAAAATCCCATTGCTTTTAGATGCAAGATTCAGCCGCGGTCGACGCAGGAGGAAGCTCTTGATGCGCAGAATGCATGTCCGGCATTTGCCGTGACGATGCACGCGCGACGCGGCATCGAGACGCGTCTTTTCTTCCTACCTTGACTTTCACCAACGAACGCAATGGATAGACTCTCCAATGAAGTTCTTGAACACATACTCTCATATCTTGGTTATGACGATATTGAGGCCTGTCGACTGACTTGTCGACGATTCCGAGCAGTCGTCAAAGGCTCGGTCCTCCTGCGTTACTTGTGTCGTCTACAGCTCGCCGCTCGAATTGACTGTCACTTGTCTTCCTCCATGCTGTCAGTATCTCGACGTCTTGAGGTACTGGATGACTTGGAAGATGCTTGGATACGAGCGGACTTTGTCCCCCTTCCTGTGGTGAATATACCCTTAGACGATATCAGCTATACCAGTTCCATCAATGGGGCTCTATACGTCTTGACGGGTACGATTTGGGCGTCTGATAAGATTCTGCGCCTACCCGTCATTGTACCCGGCGAAACTCTCTATGGAGGGAGTTGTCTTCGTCTAGCCAATGAAATCTCAAGCCACCATGGTAGACGTGTCGTCAAAGAAGTCGATGTTTTGGAGGAGAGCAATCTCCTCACAGTCATATCGGTGTGAGTAGAATAAGTCTTGATTGTGTGCACCTCACCTGATATGCCCTCTCATGCATAGAGATATTGTGGACAACCGGTACTCTACCCTGGTATTCGACTTTTACACTGCCGACACGTTCGAACCACATCCTGATGCTGCTCGACCCTCTATGATCCTGAAGTGTGATCCAACTATGAACATCGTCTTACCTCTGGTTGAAGCTGAAGAAGATATCTCGGAGTATGGGGCAGCAATAATGGATAGCTGTGGCGATATTGTCTTCTTTGTTGTCCCCAACTTTTCGACTAATGGCATGACGCCGCTGGGTTGGCCTCGAGAGGAACTGCTATGCTGCATCGACTGGCGTCGAGGCATCTTCTCTCCGGTATGTTAGATTGCCTTCTTTGCGGAGCCTGGATGCTGACATCGAGTACAGCTTCGGAAGGAGACAACCTACCAAAGTATCGTCAGTGTCAGTTTCATCAGCGAGAACACCATTCTCATCCCTCGCGGTGAACGACATTGCCTGCAATTGTGTGTTTTGTCGAACGATGCTCAAGGCCATCGTGTGCTACAGACGGCGTTGTATCTCCGATTACCCGCCATGCCTCCCAGGGCTGAGATCAGTTCATCCACTGTCATCCGCGACACGTCCAGCTTTACACGTGTTGGAGACGGCCCTGTCAAGCTTCCTCCCATTTTTGCAACTCCGGCTTCGAGTTCAGTCTGCGCTGTGCGCCTGATAGTCGAACGTCATGTTGGCACAGACCTACAATTTCACACTTTCCTGCTGGTGACACACTGTGCCACACTGGCCGAAATCGCGAGCGGTGTACCAGCCAACGAGAGACATACTTGGTTACAACCAGCTCAGCCTCATCTTCGCGTGGACGAATCAACAGTCGTCGAGTCGAGTCTACCTCTTGACGACGCAGAGACACCCCATGTACAGACCTTAGAGTCCGATGTCTGGTCACGCCGGGGTTTCATGTGGCTCGACGCCGGAGATCTAGCGCCTGACGCTAGCGAACGATCGTGGACCGTTCATGGCCAACGTCTACTTGGTTCATCCGCGGAACGTGAAGAGTCTGGCCCTGCCCTTCCGCTTCGCATATTCGACTTCAATCCACACAATACTCGACACTTCGCTACCATGCTTCTGCCTACCGTATCAGCTACATCTGATGACGAGCATCTGCGGCCAGAAGACGTGCGAGGCGAGGAAGGGCCAGAAGTACCGGAAGAAGAAGGGTCCGAGTTCGGGCGCTGGACCCAACTCCCAAATGGGAATAAGCTCACCGTCGTCAATCAGCCAATAACGACACCATCCGGAGGCTGGTGGAGAAACGACCTAGTATCCGACATGCCTTTCACAGTCACTCAGGCAGCACAAACAGAACGTTGGTCCATGCTCACGGTCCATGGAAACCAGATCTTGCGCAAACGCGAAAGTTCCAACGTGAGTCGTTCATGCGTGCACGAATTGCACGAGTACTCACATTCTTCCGGACAGAGCGTCACCCAACATGAGCCGATGAATACAACTTTTGAAGTGTTCCGTATAGGACAGGGCTGGGATTGATGAAGAGTACAGATGGGCACCCGTCCATTGGACGAGGCTATGCATGCAGAGTTCTGTCGGTTCACTACAGCCCATACACCTCGTGCATTCCATTCGAAGCCCACCGATGATCATGAGGGTTCGGCCTTATGAACGTCGGCCTACTGGGCCCGACATGGGCGCCGTGCGAACACTGAGTGCGCGCTGTACGAGTCGAATCGTCAGTCTGCCACCTACCATCACGATCATGGATCGTCTTTCAGCAGAATTGCTCGTCAAGATCTTAGCTCACCTTGGAGTCGAGGACCTCCAGGCCTCTCGGCTCACCTCTCGCAGATTTCGAGCCGCCATCGAGGGCTCGGTGGAGCTATGTTACCAACATCGTTTGCGGCTTGCTGGACGCGCAGACATCGCGAACAAAAGCTCGTGCACCTCGCTCTCACAACATCTTGCAGACTTGAATGGTCTCGAAGATGCCTGGCGGTATGCAAACTTCACGCAGACCGTGTCTATCGCAAGCTTTTCGGTCCTCAGCGACTCGGAGGTGTTGACATTCTACGCCCGTATGAATTCGCTGTATGTGATAGCGGGTCAAGAGTGGACCGTCAACGAAGTTCTACGCCTCTCTGATGGTAGGACCAGCGGCTCAGCGGAGGATTGGCAGCGCTTGCAGATCTCGAGTGTTACAAGTAGGCCCGATAAGATGGCCCTCGATGTGGTCATACTCGAGGAAACCTGCCTTCTTATGGTGATATCAGTGTGAGTCACCATGTCTATCACAGCTTGTAAGAGGTCTAATCTCAGGCTCTAATGTGTCGTCGTTAGGATTGTCAACAACGATGGCGATGATGTATCAGGGATAGTCTTCGACTTCTATCACACCGAGACTATGCAACCACATTCAGACGCAATCCAACCATCAGTGACGCTCCGATTCGCCCAAACTTTTCAGCCTCATCCTCCCGGAGAGGACCTATCTACGTTCGACTCACCAATCTCTGGTCATGGTGATACCATACTGTTCATCCTGCGTAATCACCACCCAGATGCAGTGACCCATGACACGTCGCAAGAACTTGAAGTGTTCTTCTGCTTACGTTGGAAAGAAGGTCTAGTTCATACGGTCTGTGTCTAGTCTGTGGGCATATTCTTTGCGCGAGTTCTCATCGGGTTTATAGCTCCGCGCGCAAGAGTCGTGCCGCCAAACCGCGCCCACATTTGTGGAAGCCAACCTCTTCATATGTTCTCAACAGCATCTGCATTGCCTCGAGCTCTGCAGTCTGCTCAAGGATTCCACTCGCCCATGGACTCTGCACACACTCTGTTATCTGCGATTCCCCGCACTCGGAGTGAGTGTTCTGGGTAATCGCATCGGAGAGATGGCAGTATACCGAGACTATGAATCGTCCGGGGTAACGGACGCAGATTGGCAAAACCAAGCGAACCCACGCCCATTTCCCCTTCTACCATCCCAATCGATCTGCGCAGTCCGTATCGTCCTTCAAGGCCTCTCAGGACATTACGACGACGACCGCACCTTCTACCTCGTTATTCGGACAGCGACGTTCGCCGAGATCGCACTTGAGGTAGCTCCGGGGGAGACCTTTGATTGGCCTGAGCCTGAGGGGTGCTATGTCTATCTGGACACTCAGACGCCGCCTACCTCTCCCGCCACACAGACCGTCAACCCTAATATGGACTCTGCAGTCGTATGCATGGCGCGCACACTTGAAGCAGACGCATGGCTAGGAAAAGGAGCCACATGGTTGAATACGGCGGCAGAGCTTCACAACGGTGATCGTGCATGGGGGGTGTCTGGACAGCGCCTGATCGCGCGAGGGTTTGAATCAGAAGGACGCATTCCTCCATTGCGTCTATACAACTTCAACATTTACGACGTGCAGCGCGCGCTTTCCCTCATCCGCACGGGCAACCTTGAACTAGTGCAGACAGACGTCGAACATACCATGTTCGGACCATGGTATCGTCTTCCCAACGGGAATAAGCTGGCCGTCGTGGACGAGCCATTCGCCGTATCGACGGCTCGGCCCACCTGGTGGGGTGAGGATCTGGTTTCAAACCTACCTTTCACGATTGTCGAGACACAGCAAGCACAAGCTTGGCCACTACTGACGGTCTTCGGTGATTTCATCCTGCGTTTGCAGTCAAAAGAATCTTTGGTGAGCTCTGAGTGCCTCGTATATGCCTCCACCGCGCCTGACCCGAACGCACCTCGTAGAATTACGAAGTCTTCCGCGTAGGGAAGTGAAAATCAGCCATCACACGCGCTTAGATGATAGACGAAAGAGTCCATGTATACGTGATGTAGATAGATGTAAACGGATCCCAGAAACACTTTATGTTCTCGTACGGATTACATAGGCGAGGCGGCATGCGGCGGCGACGTCTCGTTCTAAAATATACATGATTGGTTGAGGGAATGATAGATATCGCACCCAGAGCCCCAGGCGGAGATCGTCACGACGACGAAGATGACCGAAGCACGCGGCAAATACGAAATATGAGTGTGAAGGGGCATGAGCTTCGGAGGAAACGAAGGTATGTGTGAGAGTCGTGACGAGGGCGTAGAATGTACGATGGAATGAGGGCGAGCACCAATGATGTAGCTGATGAATAATATGAAGCACGAATATATGTATGAAGCAGAAGTAGAAGGGAAACCGGAGCCGTCCGCACGTAGCCAAGCCTGAAGTGGATAGTCTTCCATAATATTTACACGGTATTCGCAGACCTCTGCGCAGTCCCAGCGACGGCGACGAGCAGAGGCTTCTGAGGTTAGAAGAAGCGTTTCTTGGCCGGCTTCTCTTCTACGGCGACCTTGATATGCGTGTGCTGCGGCGTTTGGCTGTTGTCGCTGCAAGGAATGATACCGCGCAGCCACTCGTCGCCGTCGTCTTCCTCTTCCGGGTCAAGCGCATGATCGGGGCACTCGTCGACGTTCTGGGTGTCAACGCCGTCGGCACCGCCGTGCGTCTTGCACCCACACAGAAGACCGCTGGTCTTGCCGCGGCCCTTCAGCAAGTCCGTAAGCGTGCAGCGCGCGCTCGGCTCAACGTGCAGCATCCGCCGTAAGGCAGCCCTTGACTCGCGCGGAAGCAGGCGGAATAAGCTCTCGGCGCCAGCGCTCGTACTCGATGCCGGATGGCCATTGTACGTAGCCTGGCTATCCGTGCGCTTGCGCCGTGGCGGCACGTTGAGCTTGTCCTCCGCCTTGATGGCGGGCTCCTCGGTCTTCGGCTTCTCGGCTTCCGGTTCCGACTTCTGCTCCTGCTCTGAAGCGGCATCGCCGTTCACCTTCGCGGTGCCGTTCGTCTGGGCCTCCGGCTTGGGTGTAGGGGTTGACAGAGCGGGTGTCGATGGCGCGTCGATGTGCACGATGGGAGCCTGGATGGGACTTGGGCTTTGCGCCGACGAGCCGGTGCCGTTATCGGGCTCCGACGGGAACGCAACACCGTTGGGGCGGGGCGTGACCTCAGGCTGATCGTCCGTTACAGCGTGCTCGACGTCAAGAGCGGCGACGCGCGGCGTGCGCACCTCTTCTAGCCGTGGACTGTGCGGATGGGGCGCAGAGTGTTGATGGTGCGGCGAGAAGGGACGGAACCCGGTCTTCGGACTGAGAGGAAGCGACTCGGTACTCGTACCCGGACGTGCAAACACGCGAACGGAGGGATCCATCGCGCGCTCGTCGACTTCGACATCCAGGCCCGTAGGCGAGTCCATAGGTCTCAAAGGCGGCAGGGTCGCCGTGCTACGGCTGGCGATATAGGGGCTCGCAGGGAACATCCCAAGGTCCTTGCTGTGATCGCTGGTGTTGGACGAGGCGGGGCTGAGGTCGGTATCGGCCGTCGAAGGCGCGACCGAGGCGGCATCGAAAGTACTGCTGTGGTCGGTGCTTCCGGTGCTTGAGCTGACTGTGCGCTCCTCTTGCGGCCCGGGCGCCGGATTAGGCATCGTCAGACTCTTGCGAGGCGCCATAGTGGGGCGCTCCGCGGATGCCTCGATCCCGTTCTGCGAGGGCTGGCGCCGAGGCGTACGGGGTTCTGGCTTGCGCGAGAGTTCTGGGTGCGTGTTGACGAAAGCGCGGAAGGAGGGATCGGTCTTCGGATCAGGAATCTTCCACGGGAAGCGGCGGAGGACCATGCACACGAAGATGACCGCGACGGACCAGACGTCCGTCTTCCGTGGGTCGTACTCCTCTTCTGAGAGCACCTCCGGCGCGAGGTAAGGATCTGAGCCGACGACGCCTGATGCCTTGTTGATGGCCTTGCCGGGATAGTGGAAGACGGTGGCGGTGCCAAAGTCGATAAGCTTGACAACGTTGCCGGTAGTCATAACGCAGTTGTCGAGCTTGAGATCTCGGTGCGCAAGCCCCATCGAGTGCAGGTATTCGACGCCATCGCAGATCTGACGGAAGACGCAGTAGATCTCCGGCCGGCACATCTTTCCGGACATGACTACCGAGAAGAGATCGTACGGTGCGTACTCCATCACCTGCGTAAAGAAGGCGAACGCTCGATCAACGAATGGACGGCGAGGGAGCTGAGTAAGCAATACGGACCTCGTAGTAATGGCCGTGGTCGCAAACGATGTCCACGGTCTCAATGATGTTCGGATGCTTGAGCGTCGAGCCCACGCAAAACTCCGCGGTGACCTTCTTCTGGTACTCCTTTTCGCTCTCGTTATTCCTCTTCGGGCGAAACTCCTTGACAGCGAAGACTTGACCGCCGTTCTTGGTAGAAGCTTTGATGAGGCGAACGGTGCCGCCCGCACCCGAACCAAGTTGGCGTCCCCACTTGCCGTACTTCTTGGAGAGGTGGGCGTGGGTAGCTTGTGATAGCGAGTTGATAGCCTGTACATGGTGGTTGCCGTGTAAGGAGTGGGTGGAAGCTGCTCTTGCGGGAGGCTTTCTTGTCGGAGTGCCGTCGGGAGAAGGCTGCCTGTTGTCCGACGAACGTTTGGACAGGGCCGAGGGCGAGGGAGATTTGCGAACGTTGCCAGGGCTAGCGTCCTTGCGCTTGATGATAGAAGCAAAGCGGTTCTCGTGAGGCGCCTTTTGGCCATCTGAATCTGACGTAGGAGACGGAGGGGTGTGCGGCTCCGTAGAAGGCGCTGTGCTGGGCAGGGTGTGGTTGTCGAAGTGCTCTCCGCGAAGCTGGTCAGCGGGCGAAGCGTGGGACTCTTCTGGAGTGCGAGGAGGAGAGGTGGGTGCGGTCGCTGGCGGGTGGTGCCTGTGATCTTCGGGAGCGAGGAAGTGCGAGTCGAGGTTGTGAGTGTGGTGGTGGTGGGGTATATGGTGGTTGAGGAAACGTTTGAGATCGTGCAGCGGGCCGACCTTGCCGCCGTTCTTGGGCATCGGGGGGTGTTCCTGAGTGGGGCTGGGCGGGGAGGACGGCTGAGGGGAGCGTGCGGGAGTGGTAGGCGCGGTGTGTGCGACGGCCTGGAGGAAGGAGACAGAGCGCGTGCGGAGACCTCCGAGACGAGGCGACTTTGTGGGTGCTGCAGACACGCGCTTGGGCTATGGCCTGTAAGCGAGTTGAAATGGAGAGATGAGGACATTATTTACGTCTGCAATCAGTTCTGGGGCCCGTGGCGCGGCGTCCACATCGTCGAGCACGGCGAGGGGCTGCATCGGCTTTGAGGCCAGCATCGTTCTACGTTCTTCGACCTGCGAATAGGCGGCTGATGGTGGTAAGAGCGAGAGCCAATTCCTGCACCGGACGCACAGTACAGACGTCTGATCACGAACAGCCCAAGGCACCAATCCCCGTCCGGCCCGACAAACTCACCATGTCGTCAGTGCCCCCCTTCCCTTCCGTCCTCTTGCTCGCCTACTTTCCGGCATCCTTCTCCCCATACACCCGTACTCTTTCCGCATCCAATACACTGCCCATTCGTCCAGACAGCTACACTCAGCACTTCCGAACCGTCTCTTATTTGTACCGAGAACCCCTAAAATACCTATTCCTGTCCACTTATCGTCGTTCCTCTCTTTATCAATATTCCACCCGTCCGTCGGACCCGTTCAAACCGTCCTTGCCAGGCCCACATGGACGTCCCCAAAAGTCCGAACCCCCTCGCGATCGCCACACAAGCCTCTATTTTGCCCTGCCGCCCAGCGGCAGCGCCAAGGGGCATACGTGCCGAGCGCCTCGGCACGGATTGGCAAGGTTCCCGACAACTCGACGCCACCAGGCTATGTCACTTGGAGTGAATGCGACAACAACTATACACGCGCGCCAGATGACGCTCCCTACTCCGGGCCTCCGAGTCCGCTGCTGTACCTCCTCCATCCCGTCCAGCTACTCGATGTGCCATGTACCGCCTATAGGCTACAACAACTAATCGAGAACAGCAATGCTCTGCGCGCCAATGGCGATGCGGGGAATCATTGTTACCCCGGATATGAACGCCACAACTATCATCAACGCGTTGCTCTTGGCCTAGGCGCCCATCGCCGTCGCCACCGTGCGCCTCGTAGCGCCTCCCATCCTGTCTCCATCGTTCGAGCTAGCAGGTCACACGACCGTACTAGCAGGTCTTACCAGCGTGTTTTCTTACGCTTTTTTCTGCCTTTGGGGACCGCCGCCGCTGCGCCGCGAGCAATATAATTTGCTTGCGCATTGCTACCGCGCCCTTGTACGCTTTTAGCACGCCCGACAAATTGCTGCTCGGCAAGCCTTCTTGCCGCCGGTAAGATGCACTTATCGTTGCTTGGTTCTCTCTCGTCTTCTCTTCCTCGTACGCAGGCCAAGACATTCTGACTGCGCACTTCGTCTTGTCCTACCCCCTCGGCTCGTAGCCCTCTCGTAGGGCGGACTTTCACCACCTTTGCGCCTTGCATCTCGTTCTCAGCATGGTCCAAGCCGTCTTGTCCCAGCTCTCAGCATGCCTCTGAAGATCGCAGTGGGACGGCTTGGCCAACCAGCGCATTCTTGCCGTCACAGCCCGCGTTTCCAATCATTCTTCGCGCTACAACGCACTGACCAGACAGATCCGATCTTACTCTTTTCCGTTTCGTCTCGTTGTCAGATACGCCGTGACACGCTCCGGCCGTCATTATTTGTATAGTCTTTTCGTCAGACATGCGTCATGCTCCTCTTACATGCAAGACCAGGACGGCCTCACATCCCGAGAGCGCACCATCCGCATGCCACATGTGCGATTCTTAAAGTGCGACCACACTGGTCGCACGCGCACGCTCGTCATAGGCCAGACCACAGACGAGGCTGCGGGGGCAGCGGCGCAAGTGTGCGCACGCGAGCGCTCTCGACACCGCATCGAGTGCGCTCTCACCAGTCGGGATCCTGCAGTTGCCGTTATCCGTGCGCGCTGCTAGACGGCTTCATGTTGGCTGCGAGAGCATATCGGCCTATACGGCTTCGGAGCGCCCAGCGTGGGCGGGGCAACGCTCAAGCGGCGGCAGGAGTTCGGTGTGGGTAGATGCTGGCCCGGATAGGTCCAACTTTCCGAGCGCAGACATGACCGTTCGACAATCCATTCTCACTATGATACTTCAATGTCAGCTCACTACCACTATGGAATAGGACGAGCATTGTTTGAAAGCGTTCTGGAAAGCTGATAAGGCTTATAGCGCGGATATGACTGGCAGTGGGAAGAACAGAAACACGCCCGTGGGATGGTCGTGAGCGGCGATGTGCATTTCTTTCTGTCGGCGGTCTCAATGTCCACGACGCAAGAACGCGGTCTTTCTGCGCCATTCGGCCTTCAGCGCTGCATCGTCAGCTCTGCCGAGGATGACTAGAGCGCCTTTGTGTTGTTTCCAGTTCACTGCTCATGACACTTGACTGCGTAGGTCCTGGTTGGGTCTTCCAGCTCGCAGCGGCAGAGTGTAGATGGTCCGCCCGCCCATCGTCAACTTCCTGATGTGGCATAGCCAATCCAATACGACCGCTGTTCGCGCGCTTGACGCCTAGCCATATTGTCATCCAGTGGCGTCGCGCCTGCTGGCAGGCGCAGGGCCCCTTACGCGAGGATATGGTAACTCTAGTTTGGGGACCCAGACGTAGACGAGCGCCTGAAACCGATCGCGCTGTTTCGTGACTACCGCATTAGACAACTCGGTACGTCAACCAAACTGAGTACCCTGAGGGATGGTCATAATAGCGATCGAGCGGCGCGCAGGCTCGCAGCAGAGACGGTGCTCGGTCTTCGCGCACGTTTGACCTTTAGTCGTCGTTCTGACAGCACCTGCACTTTAGCGCGCGCTCGCTGACGATAATCGATAATCAGACCTGTATTGCTCAGTTCGTCTCTCTGATGCCATCTCCTGGGTTTTTCTCGACCGACATGCGTGGACACAGCACTGCATATGTACGCTTCTGGCACATTCGGCCCGAACGCATCTGATCGTTCGGGGATACATACGAGCTTGTATCTGATATTCTGCTTTCTCTCCCCTTCACACTCAAGTTGGGTGCCTTCTACGTGCTGTTCTAGGGGCACTAAACCCCCGATGTCCGACGGGGAATGCTAGGAAGATCATGAGGCGCCTCGTTGCGGGCACATTGTGCTTGCACTATCATCCGAGCAGGATCTTCTGGCGTTCATTGCCATTCTATGAAGTCGGACAAGGGTTATCGTTTGGAGTAGGGAGATTGATGATGTCGGACATTGGGCGTTTTCGGGTGCATAGGGTTCGTACCAAGGTCACCGAGGCCAAATGAGGCATCCGAGAGGGATCGTCTGCCGAATGGCTACGGCGCGGTAGGGCGTGCATCTACATTCAAATGGAGGACAGCTTCTATCAAAGCGAGATTCAATGAAAGAGGATCGATAGGACGGCTATAAATAGAATTTACCAAAGCTTCAGCGAGCATAACACGTACAGCAATATACGGCTATTACACTTTGAATCAAGGTTTAGGGTTGCCAATATCGGCCTTTGAGTCTCCTGGTGAGCATTAACCAGCAATAGACTACGAGGGTAGCCTAGGCTACGGGTATCTTCGGCTATAGACGTCGACAAAGGTCGCGCTACATAGCTGAATGTCGCGGTTGGAAGCAGCTGAAGGTTCGGCGCCTCGGCAGGTTGAACGCGTCGCGTCACGAATGTCACAGAACGCGTTGAACGGATCGCCGCCGCCGCGACGTGGTTGCTTTCACCTCCCAAGCCTCCGGCTTTCATCCACAATTTTGACGGCTACTGTGGCTTTGCAGAGTTACCGACACAAATAATCCATAAACTCTATCTACAATGCACCATGCACGAACAATTAACCGACCACTCGAGGTCAAGCCCAACCTGATGGGGAAGGCTGTAGGCCCCGCCGAGTATCCGTACCGCCTAAACTTGTTCGTAGGCTTTCCTGACAAATGCTCGGAAAATGAGTGATTAAAATGGACAACAGCTATACGCGCCCGCCGGTGCACGAAATCACGATTGAGGAGTTCGAGTCCTGCGCGATCGACCGGCTACGCATCTTGGGCGAAATCGAGTCCTGCAACGCGCGCAATCGTAGCCCAGAAGAACGAAAGACTGTCATTCGCACGCAATGTGCGAAATATCTGCCTATGGATCCGAACGACTCCCTATTCCACGCGCAGGAGGAGCAGCGCAGGCGAGACCATGTCGGGCATTTCGTGCTACGGCTCGCATTCTGTCGTTCGTGCGTTATTCTCTTTCTACCGCGATGAAAGGTCGCTGACATGGCGCGCCGTAGAGAGGAACTCAGGAGGAGGTTCGTGAAGACGGAGTTGGAGCTCTTTCGTGTACGATACGAGGATGAGCTGGACAGCGAGAGGAAAGGCTTTCTGAGCCAACATGATTTTGGGACGATTGAGGTGCGCTGTGCTTATGTCGTATCTTTCTAATGTATACCAACAGGCTGCGATAGGTGACAGAGTCTGAGAAGAATCAATACGCGCAGCAGCTCAAGGACGCAAGTCCGCGAAATTACGCGTCGATGTCGAAGAAGGTTCCTGCGAAGCAACTTAAGGACGAGACGTATTATAAGGTATATTCTCCGCGCTCAGTTCCAGCATGTGTACTCATTTTCCATAGGTGAAGTGGACCCGTGTACCAGACCTTATCGAGCATCGCAAGGTCTTCGTGAAAGGCGGTTGGGCGTACGTGCCCGCCTCGGAGCAGTCCAGTCTCATCTTCCACGAGTTTGAGTCTCGGCTTGAGAAGGAACTTGAGGTGAGCGCTATTTGTGATAGTGATCGCTCTCTCTCATTCTGACTGCGACCCTGCATAGTCGACATCAAAAGCCATCAAGGGGATCGAAGAGGACACCCGCCTTGTTCAAATCCTGGATCATCTCTCAAAGGGCTTCATGGCCGGTGGAATTGCGCCTGAATGGGGAACAGAGGGTACTGGTGATGAAATCAAGGCGGACATGATTGACGACCTTGCCCGGAAGCACTTCCCTGCATGCATGCGTAACTTGCATGAGAACTTGAGGAAGGATCGCCACTTGAAACACTTCGGCCGTCTGCAGTATGGCTTATTCTTGAAGGTATGTCCCCAATCAGGGTGATGCAACGGCCGTCTGATTGGTCACCAGGCGCTTGGACTGTCTATCGAAGAGGCGTTAGTGTTCTGGCGCCGGTCGTTCAGCAAGTTCACCGACGATCAGTTCAACAAGAACTACAAGTACAACATCCGGCACTCATATGGCTTGGAGGGCGGTCGTAGGAACTACCCAGCCAAGAGGTACATCACTGGACTCCTATTCTGTTTGTACGGCGCTCATGAATAGCATAGCTGTCAACAAATCCTCACGCAAGACCAACCGGGCACGCAAGATAATCACGGTTGTCCGTACCGCCACTTCTCCCCTGACAACCTAGAATCAGCACTACTGTCGATGTATTCGGAGCAGGGTCTGGCGCGACACGATATCCCTGAGATCTTGAAGATGGTTAAGGATGGCCATTATCACGTCGCATGCACTCGTGTCTTCGAGATCACGCACAACGCGCGTGGCGTTAAGAAAGGGGACGGCGTCAGCGGTGAAAGCGTGTCGCACCCGAATCAGTACGCGCAGAAGAGCCGCGAGTTGGAGAAGGCGCAGGTTGAAGCTATGGACGTCGATGGCGGGGATGTTGTGATGTCTTCTTGATCTGTGTCGGTCCCGGCCTAGCTATTCTTCGTAGTGACATCATCCTGTCTTGTTTTGCGACTTGCTTTGCCATTCCCTGTACCTGTACTTGTAGTACCACTACCTCGTAACCTGCGCTGAATTGCTATCGATACGATGAATAGCCTCCGGTCCAGGCGGAGCCCATGGCACGGGGTATACGTATGATGACGCGCGAGTACGTGCGCCGCGTGCAGCGGCAATAGGCGGCGCTGGCGTTCTGCATGCGCGTTTACAGCCAGGCCGAACGCCCCGAACGCGCCTTCATTCACGACCACCATCACGCCGCGCCTCTGTGACGATACACGATGCAACGCAGAAAAGTCTCGAGCACGCAGGAGCAGGGCACGAGCCCGACACCGCCAGCAAAGGCGCTACAGGAGTACATCGACACCGATGGCCACTTTTCCCTCGTCAGGTTCGTCTAAAATCTCAGTGTCTGCGAATCGCGTATCCTGTGTCCTTGTATCTGACAGCGCGCAGGAACTTCCGACTGGCTGATCTGGTAACGATCATGAACGGCTTCTGCGGCGCGTTCTCGGTCTTCTACTCCGCCCACTACCTGCTGTCAAACGAGGAGGCGCACTTATGGCGCGCACTTGCCTTCCCCGTCGGAGGTCTCCTATTCGACTTCTTTGATGGCAAAGTCGCACGCTGGCGCAACTCGAGCAGTCTACTTGGCCAGGAGCTCGATTCGCTCGCAGACTTGGTGCGCCCATTGCCTTGCGCGTCACGTCCGTAGCGCTGAATGATACCGTTCTTGTCAAACCAGATATCATTTGGCGTAGCGCCAGCGGTACTAGCTTTCACGCTCGGTCTGCGTACAGTACTGGACATGGTCGGCCTGACTGTGTTCGTTTGCTGTGGCCTGGCCCGACTGGCGCGTTTCAACGCAACGGTGGCGTCGGTACCCAAGGACGAGACGGGCAAGTCCAAGTACTTCGAGGGCCTCCCCATTCCGTCATCACTAGCAATTGTCGCTGCCATGTCCTACTGCGTGAGCAAGGGATATATTGAAGGCAAGGCGGGAGTGCCTGGCCCGCTATATTCGCTCGGCCCGCTTGGGGAGCTGCATGGCGCCACGCTCGTGTTTGTCGGCTGGGCGGCGATGATGGTTAGCAAAACTATGCGTGTTCCTAAGCTGTAGGCAGATGCGCTACACCGCGAACAACGAACGTCATGACTATCTGTATAGCGATCTTTACTACGGACGAATATGATCTGAGATGTTGACATTGTCCCTCACACGCAAGCAGTCGCAATGCCCATGATCCCAACGTCCAAGCTTGTGCCACACCCACTGAGCAGAGACATTGCAGACATACCGCACACGCGTGCAAGTGGCTGAATTCTCCGAGGCCGCCACTCATGTATATAACATACACAGGTGTGCCTGACTCCGATTCTCTCGGTGTAGGCTTAATCAGTGCTTCAAACCGTTTTGACGAGTGACAGATGGCAATACGTTGGGACCGGCACTGATTCGGGCACCCCCGACTCCGATTCCGACCCTCGACCACGACAATCGATGAGCACGGTAGAGCCGCGTCGTGGCCCACCTGACGCGGCGGGCAGCTACCCGCGGATGCTTCGCCGCGTCAAGACCGACTGTGCATGCCACCACATACGTTCGCTTGTGATGGTATCGCACGTCGGTCATCCACCCTTGCCGTGAGCGTGAGCCACCATTCATATGGCTACCACGGTGGATCTGCAGAACATGTATAAAGACAGTCTGCGGAGCAGCGTTGGTTGCTACAAGGCATTTCACAGCGTCCCGCAGATTCAACCCATCTACACCCTCAGTCCATAGACGACTCAACATGGTAAAAACCACCACTCTGGGCGGCTCCGCGAAGGACGTTGTCGTCGCCAAAGTAGGCGTACGTGGCTTTCTCCTCGTTCGCCGACTTCCATCCCTGATCGGTTCATGTACCAGACCGGGCTCATGTCGCTAACGTGTGTAGTGTCGCCTTTCAGGCGTTCCAGCGAGTTCATTGATTGCGTGTAGGTGGACACCTGAGCCTGTTCCAGATGAACAGGCCTTCGAAGTGATCAAGGCATCGATCGACGCCCTTCCGACGGGGTGCAAGATGCTACTGAACAGCGGTGCGTCGGCTCGATAGTGCGTCAATTGTCGTGAAACTGAACACACATACTACCGGATAGCCCAGTTTTACGCAGCCGATCTTGGAACTGGGAACCTCGAGCTCCTAGCTCGCTTCTTTGAGAAGTACCCGGGATATGCGGATAAGGTCTTCCTCAGTGTCAAAGTATGTATGGGAGTGGTTTTCAGATACGCTCACGCTAACGACCTCATAGGGCGGCGCGAAGCCCAACACGCTTGATTTCGATCCTTCGTACGTCCGTTCCTTCACGCACAAAATCCGAGGCTGATATGTCGCCATCAGGCCTGAGGGTCTTCGTGCAAGCATAGATATATGTAACAAGGCTCTTCGCGGCACAAAGAAGATCGACTTGTTTGAGAGCGCGCGTGTCTCCCGTTCGACTCCTATTCCCGAGCAGATGAAGGCGCTCAAGGGCTTGATCGAGGAAGGTCTGATTGGCCACATTGGGCTCTCTGAGTGCAGCGCAGCGACAATTCGCGAAGCCAACGAGCATGCGCCCATCGCCGCCGTTGAGATCGAGCTTAGTCCTTGGGCATACGAAGATGAGACCAAAAAGGGTGAGTTCCTTCGCTTCTGCTCGTATACATGCCTGACAGAGTCGCTGTGTAGTTCTCGCGGCCTGTGAGGAGCTCGGCATCGCTGTCGTCGCCTACTCTCCGCTCGGGCAGGGCTTTTTGACTGGTCAACTCGGACAGCTATCGGACAAAGACCCTCGCTCCCACCTCACGCGCCTCCAGAGCGAGGTAAGCGGGTCTGTCCTTGGTAGACCAAATCATTTCTGATCCTTCCAATAGCATCTGGATAACAATCTCAAGCTCGTCGAAGCTTTGAAGGCAGTCGCTGAGAGAAAGGGTATCACTGCTGCCCAGCTGAGTCTCGCCTGGGTACAGGCCCTTGGCGAGCATGTCATACCCATTCCCGGCTCTTCGTGCGTCACGTATTCCTTCTACTATGCGTATCGTCTCATGAAGCTCTTGACTCCTGTAGCAAGGCATCGCGCGTCGTAGACAACATCAAGACCAGCGACATAAAGTTTAGCGCAGACGAGCTCGCCGAGGTCAACCGTGTCCTGGCCGATTATCCTGTCTCGGGTCAACGCTATTGGGATGGTCACAACGAGAAGCTGCAGCTCTGGGGTTGAATGTCGAACGATAAGGTGAGCGCTGCATCGCACAGTGCTTTAGTAGGGAAACTACATTGATTCATTGTGTGGGTGGTCCAGGATGCCGAGCCATATCATTAAGACGCTTTCTACGTTGTGACATTAGATACGCTCTGTTTCCGATTGATTCCCATGGTGTTTCCATCTGTCCTTTCCGAGCAATGCTGGACATACGCTCTCTGACTGCTTCGCGGGTGACGGACCGAGTCCCGCGGCTGACGTCGTGGTTAGTGCCCTGAAAGAGATTCGAAGTCGCGACATGTCACCCGCCGTCACAAACCACGATGGCCCAGTGGCTGGCTGTCATAACGCGCTACGCTTGACCCGGCAAACCCGCGGGTTGTCCTAGACACTCCATATAACTCCAGGATGGTATGAAATGGGCGGTGACGCTTTTCGCGAGGCGCCCATCCACTGCACACGGGCCAGCCGCGCCGTGGAGCTCACACGATAATGGATTGACATGGTGAATATAAGGTACTCCTATGACGGTAGGGGAGTAACAACCATCTGCGCTCCATCTTCCCTTTTCTTACTCTTGGTATGGTGCAATCTGTGCGGCTCGGTGGGACTGCGAAGGACGTGGTAGTTTGCAGAGTCGGGGTACGTACGACTGGCTTGTGGTTCGACTTTAGCTTACGATATCGTCCTGTATAGATGGGGCTCGCTATGCTCACTTCGTGTGTGACGATATCCTACTAGAAGCATGAACCAAGGACTGCTAACGAGCTACCAGCCTTGCGGATGGCGGTCCGCCGGAAGAACAGGCCTTTGAAGCCATCAAGGCTGCAGTTGACGCTGTCCCTGTTGGTTCGAAGCTGCTTCTAAATAGCGGTACGTCTGCCGTAATATGGTTGCGAGAGGATGGGCTGCTCAAGGCTTTTCCAAGCCCAATTCTACGGACCGAACCAGAGCACGGCCAACCTTGAACTTCTGTCGCGCTTCTTCGACAAGTACTCCGGATATGCGGACAAGGTCTTTCTCTGTGTCAAGGTATTATCAGTCATGCCACTACGACCACGCATATATTCATACCTCATTCCTTCAGGGCGGTACAGAGCCCAATAGCTTCAAGATGGACCCCACGTAAGTACCATTCCTATAGTACCTATCACGCGCTTGCTCACATATGAACACCAGCCCTGAGGGTCTCCGAGCCAGTGTCGAATTGTGCAACTCTGCTCTTCGCGGAACGAAGAAGATCGACCTGTTTCAGATAGCGCGCGTCGTGCGCTCGATTCCGTTATCCGAACAGATGAAGACGCTCCAGGTCTTCGTCAAGGAGGGTCTCATCGGGCATATCGGCTTGTCGGAGTGCGCGGCCAAATCTGTGCAGGAGGCAAACGAGCACGCCTCCATTACTGCGGTCGAGATCGAGGTTAGTCCGTGGTCGTACGAAGATGAAACGAAGAAAGGTGGGTACAACGCGAGCCGGGCGCTTTTGACTATGCTCAACTGTTCGCAGTGATCGCTACTTGCGCTGAACTCGACATCGCCATTCTTGCGTACTCGCCGCTCGGACACGGCTTTCTCACCGGTCAGATGGGCCAAATCGGCGATAAAGATTGGCGCAAGGGCCTGTCGCGATTCCAAGGAGAGGTATGAAGTCGTTAAGTGAGTTCATGGGCAGCCTCTGACGCTTGTATAGAACGCTACGAACAACCTCAAACTTGTTGAGGCCCTCAAGACGGTCGCTGAGAAGAAGGGCATTTCTTCCGCGCAACTGTGTCTGGCCTGGGTCCAGTCACTTGGCGAGCGCATCGTTCCCATTCCGGGCTCTAGGTACGTTTGAAAGTGTCGATACTTGATAGATGAAATATTTCTTACCGAGTACGCACATTACAGCAAAGCCTCGCGCATGGTCGAGAACATTGGCACTAGCGACATAGTACTGACCGCCGATGAGCTCTCAGAGATCGAGCGTATCATCGCTGAGTACCCGGTCTCAGGAGGTCGTTACTTCGATGCAGCGGCTCATGCACTTCATTTGTGGGGATGAGTGGATTGTATCTTCAAGTAATCGCGCTATGTGACAAGCAATGCCAATACGTATTAAAGGAGCTGATCTTGCGCGTTCTAGTATTGTTTCCAATGCAGGAGGGATTTGCAGACAATGTTCCCCAGAGCGGCGAGAGTGAAAGTATGAGTGTGCGCCATCGCTGACAGAGAGCGATGATCCATCCGAAAGAGTATTGTACGATGTGGTGATCGTTTTCATCCCTGCCTTTGCGCACACAACGCGGCGGGTCACATTGAGCCAGCTCATCGAATATATAGGAAAGGATAGTGTCTGGTAGGTCGTGTACTGTGAGCAAATGGCTACCCATGGACGACATGTCACAGAGGTCCGAGTTCAAGCGGTTCGTGCACCAGTCGACGATGGTGATGGTGGTGGTGGGCGAGAGTCAAGTCGCGTGAGCGCGTTGTAAAGTCTCCGTGGAAGCGACATGACCTCCCACTGAAGAATCCACGGTTGTCTGTACTACATCAATGCAACACGCCAAAGAACATCCGTTGAGTACATATAAACATGACCTCAACCATCATCCTCGCGCTTCCGCTTCATGTCTCGGGTGACCTTATGTTGTGCGGCCTCGTGACGGGCCAACTCAGGCGGAACCTTCGACACAGGACTCTTCGCAATCTCCTGCCGCAATTCGTACATGACTTCGTCGTCCTCATTTGTGAGGAATGTGATGGCCGTGCCCTGCTTGCCCGCACGACCCGTGCGACCGATACGATGAACGTACGCCTCGATCGTGTTCGCCATCTGGAAGTTGATGACGAGTGAGACGTCCTGGACATCGATACCACGTCCGGCCAAGTCGGTGGCGACGAGAATGTCCGCCTCGCCAGTACGTAGTGACTGTAGTGCGGCTTCACGTTGCTCCTGGTTCTTCCCACTGTGAAGCGTGCTCGCGGACCAGCCCGCCCGCTGGAGATCCTTCGCAACCATGTCCGCCGTCTTCTTCTGGTTGACGAAGACGATGATAGGCGAGGGGAAGGTGCCGCTGTTGAGAATTTCCAGCAAACGCGCCTTCTTCTTCTCGTCTCCCTGAACAAACTCAACGCGCTGGTCGACGGTATCGACTGCACGACCAGCTTCGCCGATTGTAATGATAGCGGGCCGCTTGAGATATTTCCGCGCTATGCGCTCTACGGCAGGCGGCATGGTCGCGCTGAACAAGGTTGTGACGCGCGTGCGACCCTTCTTGACCATTGTCTCTCCGTCAACGTCCATCGCCTCGCCTTCGTCTTCGCCCTCCATCATTTCACTCGGCAATTTATCGAGGATGAACGTCAAATCAACCTCAAAGCCGAGGTTAACCATACGGTCCGCTTCGTCCATAACGACGTAGCGACATTGAGAGAGCACAATGACGTGTCGTTCAAGCACATCCTTGAGACGACCTGGCGTGGCGATGATGATCTCGGCACCTTCGCGTAGGTTGAACTGCTGCTCCTCGACTGCGCGTCCACCAACGATGGATACGCAACGGAAACCGAGCGGAGCGGCGAACTTGCGCGTTTCAGCTTCAATCTGCTGCGCAAGCTCTCGCGTTGGTGCCAGGATGAGTGCATACGGCCCCAAGTGCCGGTTCTCGTCCGTGAAGACGGGGAGCTTGCTTATGAAAGTCAACATTGGTATGACGAAGGCTGCGGTCTTGCCGGATCCTATGAAATGTCAGTTTAAAACGCACAGTGCTTGGATAGTGTAAAGACATACCGGTTTCAGCGATACCGATAATATCACGATTTTGCAGACCGATAGGTATAGCTTGGCGCTGAATTGGGGATGGCTCCTTGTAGCCAACCTTGTCCACGATCTCGAGAATCTGAGTTGGTATAGTAGACTCTTCCCACGAGCGCAGGGGATGAGGAATATTGCCTCCTGTAAGTTGAAAGCACGTCAGAAGATGCAGACAAACACTGGAAAGGGACCACACGAACCCCGTGCAGCAATGCTGAAGTCCTCGCGAAAGATACGCCAGTCGCGCTCCTTCATATCCGCTAATGGCTTCTCGGTCCAGTGCCGGTCATCGTAGCCTGCCTTGGCTGCCTTCCGCCTCTCCATCGCATCTGCGAGCTGGGTCTCGTCGCGCCCTCCACTACGGCGATCGCCGCTTCCTGCACCAAGCCCTCCGCCATCATCCATGCCAGCAATGTGGCCGCGCCCGAACATGACCTGAGCGCCCTGCCGTGCAGCACCAACGCTTCCGGGCGCATCCGCAGCAAATGTATCGTCCGTCTCGTCCCAGTCAAACACGAACTTGCGGTCGCTCATCTTGCGTAGTTTCCGCTTCTTCTGACCTACACCGAGATAACGAGCTCTCAGCGCAGTCAACTCGTCCTGGCTCATGGGTGGCGTATACGTGGACCCATCTGGCGGTGCGGGGGAAGATGAACCTGAGGCGGATGCTGGTACTGGCGGGGGCGGCATCGACGAGGACGGTCCCGTGGGCGGTGTCTTGCCATTGCCACGGTCTGCGCGAGGCCCAGTAGGTGCGCCGCGCGGGGCAGTCGGCGGGCCGCCACGCCGGTCGCGGTCGCGGTCGTCTCGTCGGTCGTTGTCCCGCCCTCCACGGCCGCCTCGGCCATCGCCGCGCCCATACCTGTCGCGGTCGCGGTCGTCATCTAAGATACAAAAATATATTGAGCGCCCGCTCTATGACTAGACATGTCAACAACAGAAGCAACTAACTTCTAGCATTGCCGCCGTACCTCCCAGAGCGATCGGCTGCACGCACAGCCTCGGCTTCGCGCTCGAGTTCCTCGCGCGCCTTTCGTGCGGCTTCCTGTTTCGCATTCGCCTCGCGAATCTCCGCCTTGCGCTTCTCAATCGCCAGCGCAGCTCGCTGCTCCTTCGTGAGAAACCTGGGCTACGGGCAAAGGTTAGCTATTAGAGCTCTTCAATGATGAGTTATGTGTGAAATATACCTTGGCAGTGGCTTCCTTCTCAGCCTTCTGTTTCTGCAGCAACGCATCAACAGAGAGAGGTTCGCTCTTCGACATCCTGAAAGCGGCCTGTAGTCGTCGTCGTCGCGGCCAAGAGCAAGTGGCGAGGCGAACAGGTCACCGTAACGTGACTAAAACGCGTGGGGTCGCGTTTCGCGCGCGCGCAAGGTGGGTTTTCGTGCTTTCCTTCCTTCCTTCACCTCCCCACCATCATCGCGTAACATGTCGGAAGCATCGGGCTCCAAAGCTTCCAGTACATCTACTGCTGAGTCAAAGGCCACCCCGCGGCTCGATCTTCTTGATGACGAAGGAGAGCTAACCGAAAAGGTCTTTCGCTTTTACTCGCTTGGATTAGTGTGGAACTGGAATGCTGACAGAAAACGCTTATATGCGCCTATCTCATAGGCTATCTCTTCACTGGAGCACATATTTGCCAAGTACTGCACACCAGCGCCTGAGAAGAAGGCCGATGCACTCAGTTCGGGCACGGTGCTTCTGCAACCACCTGAAGGCGCAGTATTGACGGATGACGATCTGGATACTTGGGCGCTCGATACCAATGGCGCACTATTGAGCGACGGAGAAAAGGCTGAACTGGAGATGCTGGATGTTGACGATGACGGGCAACTCACGTATGTCCTGCCGGTCCTCTGCGGATGGTCGATCTTTTCGCTAGCGCTGACGGTTTGCTGCAGATGCAAAGGCTTCATTCAGCTCTATCAACTTCAGACCGAGAACGACGATGACGAAACCTGGAAGGACCTTGTATGTCTCCTCGATCGCTCTGTCTTCGACGCACATTGGATGGCTCATGCACTTTTCGCCAGACAAAGCATGGTTTCGACGGTCAGCTACAACTGCACAAAATGGATCCGAAAGGCAAATAACATGTATGATGTAAGACCCGACCAGAATGTCTCTACTACTAATGTACACCCTCGTATACCAACCATTACACCTGAACCGATTGCATCCAATTGAGGAGCAGGCTATGCATGCCCATCCAAGCGCGTCCCAAAGGGGCGACGTCGACGATTCCCGCCGCTTGCGCAGCGATGGGAACACCAGTGATGGCTAGCAAGTATCCCAAACCACGCAGAAGACTGGCCGTGCGGCGTTTGAAGATCCACATGGTCTTGCGGCTGCCGCGCACGTTATAGTCCGACCAGCGCGGCGAGAGCGTCAGCCACCAAAATAGCGCGAGGGGCCCTGGGAAGTTCGAGATGATCTTCCCGTTCCCACCAGCTCGGTACCACGACGTGCACTCTGTGAAAACCGAAGTTGAAAGGCGAGAATAGAGCCATTCATTGTAACGGGTCGTCGCGGCTGGTGTTGGCTCCACAGCGTCAAGCTCGCCTCTCAGAACGGGCTTGAATAGCTGCACGGCGTAGTTGAACTGATGAACAGGAACATCAGAGTGAGCTATAGGTCAATGTCTAACGGACGATGATACCTGGCACTCCTCCGTGAAGATGGCGGAAGCATGGCCTGTACTGGTGTTCGGTCCTGTGACACAGATCAAGCTACTGTCGTCATCATAACACAGCACAGATCTCACCTTGCACGAGCATGAAGTTAGGGAAGTCGGGTATCGTGGAACCTAAATAGGCGGTCGGGCCGCCTTGCTCAACAAAGTAATCGTCCAGATGTTTGCCAGAGCGGCCGCGGATAGCAAACGGATACTTGTCCTACACGCAGTATGCTGCACGTCAGAGGATGATGGGTGGCCTTGGCTAAACACATACCACGAGGAAGCCCGTAGCAAGTATAATGACATCACAAGGACGATGGACGCCTGTAGGATGGTTAGACGAAGGAATCAGGTTCAGCGTTTCACCGCGAGCGCTCACCATCTTCTCCGATGATGCCGGTCTCGGTGACCTCAGCGACGCCCGAGAAGACAGGCGTGACATTCGGCCGGCTCAGTGAGGCTAGATAGCCATTATCGACTATCATTCGGCGACATCCGGGAGCTAGCGTCAAGAGTCAGCATACAGACAAGCCGTAGCATGGTTCCAAACGACCGGTAGACTGACGATAGTTTGGTATCATCTTGTTCACGTGCTCCTTGGGCGCTTTTTGCTCGATGTAAGCAGTCATGCGCTGCGAGCATCACGGATCACTGTTAGCGCAACGGTCTCTCCTGCGGTTAACACTCACGCACCTTCTCAACGCCGGCCCTCGTAGATGGGTTGCGAAACCCAACTCGGAACCAACGAGAGTCGTGCTGTTGCCGATGAGCACGTCAGTAGTCCACGCACATATGTGTAATGGATGGTGCTCACCGTAAGCTGCGTGCGGATGCGATGGAAGCGCAGGGTGAAGGGAATCGTGGCATATACCCACTTCCAGAACGAAGAGTACGGCATGTGGCCCCCCGGCATGTACCACATTGGCGAACGACAGTACTGAGTAACGTCGATCGTGGTATCCTTTGAAATCGCTGTGACGATCTGAGCCCTGCATTTGGAGGTGAGGGCAGTGGCCAAGAACGACAGAGGTAGCGGCGCGCACCCTGAACACCCATTTCCTACTACGGCCACGTTCTTTCCACGAAGGTCTACATCGTGTCTGTACCGGGCTGAGTGAAAGATGGGGCCCTTGAACCGGTCCATGCCAGGAACGTCCGGGATACTTGGGTCGACGAGCACGCCCATGGCGGAGACGAGCACTTTCGCCCGGACGGTCAAGATCTCGCCCTTCGTATTCGTAGTGTTGATGCGCCAGATAGACGCGGCTTGATCCCATTCCGCGTTCGTTACCGATGTGTTGAATACACAGTGGGGGCGAAGGCCAAACTTCTCCGCGACGCCCACGAGGTACTCTAGAATCTCCGGCTGACTACCGTGTGTCTTCTGCCAATCCGGCTTCAGAACGTTGGAGTACGAGTACCCGTGTATCCTGATGTCGGATGCGCAACCCTGTGGAAGTCATCAGACGAAGCTGGTCATGTAGCTGCCAAACCAAGCAAACATACGGGGTAGGTGTTGGCCTGTACGAAGAGTGAATGTGAGCTTCAAAGTACATGCATCAAGAGGAAGTAGGTGGGTACCCTCCATGTACCACCGAAGTCGCTATCGCGTTCGAAGATCTGGGGTGCCATCGTCATGATCTACATCACGAGACTGAAGAATGAGCGTACCACGAAGTCTTCATATCCCAGTTTCCGCTTGAGCGTCATGCCCATACCAATCCCACCGATCCTACAGAACACTGTCAAGGCAACGAAAGCGCTGAACATGTGAAGGATAGTACCCAGCGCCAATGATGACAACTCCATAATCTGTGCGATGCGCCATATCTAATGGTCCTATGTTAGGCCAGATGCACTCTCTTAGTGCCTCTTATATAGATGACATGGAACGACGCTCACCCACCAATGGACTGTTTGCATGTTTTGGGACGACGCTTCCTGCCGACGGACCTGCGGAGTACAGAGCCAGGGTTAGGCACGAACAAACTGCGAGGAAGATTGAGCACTGTGTAGCGAAGCCGTCCTGTGGGAGGTAACCACGGATTCGCGAGAGCAGATGACCGTAGGGGAACCTGGATTTGAATCTCTGAGCCGGCTTTCCGAGACGGTATGATACTATGGAGATGAGTCGTGAGGTATCATCTCCCGCGGACGAAGATCAGGATAGAAAAGGTAGGGGTTGATCACAGACGAGGACATTGACCGCGCCGCCGTACTATGTCGGCGGCAGTCCTGCCGACAGTATCCTCGCCAGACAAGCGATGACTCTTTCTTCCTTGGGTAGTTCTTGGAGATGTCCGATGGACACAGCGACATGCCGCCCACCTACGGAACGCCCAACCTCGATGGAGGAGAGCATCCCGACGGAACCCGGAACGTTCCTGTCAGACTGTATACATCCGAGAGACGCAGTATCGTTGGATACTAACACATAGACATATAACGGCTTACGTAGTCCCCGTATACTTCTTTAAACTTGCGCTGAACTTGCATTCTATATGTGCATGTGCTTATCCACCTACGGGCTGATAAGAGCTTTGACACTCGCCCAGACACCTTCGGCCGACCCCAGTCTCATGATACCTGCCACATGTGCCATTACCGAGGCTCCCGTGAGGGCTGTCAAGAACGCAAGCCGGCGCAAGATGCCTGACATCCTACGTTTCTGAACCCAAACACCCTTGTGAACACCCTGTACTTCGTAGTCGGACCAGCGTGGCGAGAGAGTCAACCACCAGAATAGTGTCAGCGGTCCAGGAAAATTCGAGAAGACCTTGCCAGTCCCGCCTGCCCGGTACCATGAAGTGCATAACGTGAACACGGAGGTCGAGAGGCGGGCTGAAAGCCATTTGTTGTAGCGTGATGTTGCGTCCTGAGTGGGCTCAACACTATCTAGCTCTCCTTTCAGTATGGGCTTGAAGAGTTCCATTGCGTAGTTGAACTAATGATAAGTGCTCAGGGAGGGGCGACTTGCTAACAAACGGACATTCATACCTGGCATTCTTCACTGATTATCACAGAAGCATGACCGGTAGTTGTGTTTGGACCTGAAGACGACACATCAGCGAATCGCTATAGTCTTGAGGAGTATGACACACCTTGAACGAGCATGAAGTTCGGGAAGTCCGGCACCGTTGTGCCCAAATATGCAAGGGGGCCGCCTTGTTCTTCGAAGAAGTCGCCCAGAGGCTGTCCAGACTTGCCCTGTATATGGATAGGGAAACGATCCTACGAGTTGATTATGAGATGTGAGCAATCGGATCGGGTAGTGGTGCATCCTGCATACCGTGACAAACCCTGTGGCGTAGATGATGATATCGCACGGGCGGTGCACGCCTAAGTATTCCCGTCAGCGACACGTGACACGAGTCCGGGCGATGCAGAATATCTCACCGTCATCGTCGATAATGCCACCTTCGGCAATCCTGCGAACACCCTTGAAGACTGGCGTAACATTGGGTCTATGAAGCGAAGACAGATACTCGTTATCGAATATGATCCGTCGACACCCCGGAGCTTCGCCTGTGAGTCTTCGCAAGCAAAGGTTGGGAAGTCTGACTGACCGTAGTCCGGTATCATTCTATCAGCATACTCCTTTGGCACTTTGGCTCTGATATATCTCATCATCGACTGCGCACGTTGCACAGCGGCGTTGAGCAGATGAGCCCAGCATAAAGAGGATGGATCGCACCTTACGAGTCCACTCCCTCATGAACTCGGACCGAAAGCCGACGATGAACCAGCCAAGCTCGTGCTGCCAGCATTTGTGAGTTGTACATAATAACAAGAGATATATGGCGGTCTCACCATCGTCTGTGTGCGTATGCGATGAAGCCACATGATGAAGGGTATATTGGCATATACCCACTTCCAGAACGAAGAGTAAGGTATATGCGCCCCCTGGACATACCACATAGGTGTGCGGCAGTACTCAACCACCTCGACGTCTGGATCTTCAGATATTGCCGGGATGATCTGCGCTCTAGGATGACGCCTATTGTTGGTACGACGATATCAAAGAAGTGGTGATTACGCACGCCGAGCACCCGTTCCCAATGACAGCTACCTTCTTGCCACGAAGGTCGACGTCGTGCCTGTACCTAGCCGAATGGAAGCGCGGACCTTTGAACTCAGCCGCACCAGGGATGTCCGGTACGTTGGGTTCGACGAGAATTCCGGTAGCTGACACGAGTATCTTGGCAGTGACCTGCGATGTTCTGCCCTTTGTTGTGGCGCTGATACGCCAGAGTGATGCGTGCTGATCCCATTCGGCCTTTGTCACGGACGTGTCGAATACGCAGTGACGACGAAGGTCGTACTTCTCAGCAACATCCATCAAGTAACTCAGGATTTCGGCTTGACCACCGCGGGACTTTGTCCAGTCCGGTTTTAAAACGTTGGAATAGCAGTAGCCGTGAATCATGACGTCCGATGAACAACCCTGAGGCGAGTATCAGATAAGAGGCTATCACAACTTCAATAGTCGGGATACGTACCGGATAGGTATTGGCCTGTGAGCAGAAGAAGGATCAGTCTCAGGCAGTCAGCAGACCAAAGTCATAGCGCACCCTCCAAGTACCTCCGACGTCGCAATCGCGCTCGAAGATCTACATATACTCAGCTCGGTCGAAGAATGAAGCGAGGAATCGCTTACGACAAAGTCATCAAAGCCCAGCTTGCGCTTGAAGGTCATACCCATCCCGAGTCCGCCTATCCTACATTCAACGGGTTAGATAGACAGATGCGTGTCAGATGTAGGTATGGCGGTACCCAGCTCCGATAATCACTACTCCGAACTCGGTGCGCTGCGCCATGCTGGGAGAGAGTGTGTGTGTACAGGCTAATGAACCTGAGGACCATCTTATAGGCAAGATAGTCCTGTACATATCATTCGCATGCTGAGCTGGTATGTCGCTTCTCGTTGAACTTGTGGGAGTCGGCGGTGGCTTTGCGATTGGAAGTCAAACGAATGACCTGCGGGAATTCCCATTTAACACCGTATTGTGCCCGTCCTGTGAGAGGTATCAGCAAAAGAGAAAGCCATCTGACCACAGGAGATTCCTGAATACCGGGCATTGGTGACAGAGAACAGCTTCCAAGAGAGCTGGCCATTGAAGACGACGGTCATAGTGTGCGACCGATCTATCGACGGCTGCCGATGACAGCGCGATTTCCATCTGATCTCAGCACACGCACGGATAACGCGCTGCGGATGTCTGACGGAACCGTGCAGTCCTGCGGTAAGACAACGACGGGAGGATCGGAGTATCATGGTGAAGTTTTGTGTGAGAGGCAAGGCGGTGAACGTGCTCCCGCTCGTAGGTTTGTGGTAGACGAGCGAGTGCGGTAATACCCCGGCACAGTACAGCACTTCCCCATAGCTCGCTGCTGCATTATGCGGAGACGCATTTTGTAGAATTATACTCCGTCTGACGAAGGCCCCATCGTTGCCAGAACACGGTGGTTGCGTAACTCGAGCTCTTTTAGGCCTGGAATCCGGAAGTCCGGAGCTGCGTATCGTATGGGAATTCCCGAGCACACCACTAGCTTTGACAATCATTGCATGGAAGAGTCTGGTCGATCAGCAGTTCGTCTGTGATGTGATTCAAGGTTCCGAGGCAGAGTGAGCAGTGAGTAAAACTGATGCAGCTCGTCATGGTTCGTGGAGGAGGCGCGTCGGCGGGCCTGCATCGCCATATCGGACGACTATACCCGAACCGGCCCGAGCCGAACCCTAACCCGAGTCGGCGAATGAGACGAAGCGCTTGCTCGTGCCTTTGCTCACAAACAGGGCTGCACGTATAATCGTACATAGCGTGGATTTTATATACCAATCCTGACAGTGCAATGTCTACAAGCCATCTGATGCAGTCTAGAACTTGTCATCCTCATCATTAAATGAGCACACTCTACAAGCTGAAGCTCCAACCGTACTACGAGTTACATGACACGCTCATCAACCAGCTCGTCGACCAGTTCTCTCGCTCGTGCGAGCCCATCGCGCTCAGCCTCCTTTGTGAGCATCTTATCCCTTTCCATCGCCTCTGCGTAAGCTGACGGCTGCGTAGGCGCGCGGAAGAATGTGTTCTTCTCCCTCGCACCGTCCCTCGGCTTCCAACCCCCAACAAGATGTAGCTTGCGCACAGAGAGTCCCATACCCATGCGATCCTCAAGCGCACCGACGAGCTCCATCCACCATTTGGTCGCCCTATCCTCCCAGTCGCTCTGGATACCGTAATGAGTGACCGTCAGCTTTTCGAGCGCGGGAAGAGGTGGTTCGGTGCCCTCGGCGTCCGAGCACAGCGCACGAAGTGCATAGTTCAATCGCAATCGCGCGACGAGCGTCTTGACCGCTGTGAACGAGCGAAGGGCGATGCGTAGTGCGGTGACGTCTTCTTCGTGCATGCCGTCTAAGGCGAGATATGTGATGGCGGTAGGCTGCAGATGTGACATGACACGCGGCAGGACTTCCATTGCTTTGAGCGCATGGTGTGCAGGCGTGATCTGGAGGCGAATGCTCTGGCCGCGAAGAGGTTCTGCGGGTCCCTTCCGCTCGCAACATTCCGGCTGGAAGTGGGTCTCTCTATCGGACTTCGGGGGATGGGCCTGATCAAAGGCGCTGGCGTAGAAACCTCCCTTCCACTCCTCGATGGAGTAGAAGCCTACAGCGTCATACGTGCCATGGGATAGAAGGTGTCCGCAGGCATCCAAGGAGTAAGGCCAATCGTCGGCATGCCGACTGTCGTGCACGTGTACCGAACAGGAGGTGGGTAAGGAGATGACACGAAAGAAGGCCGTAAGATCCTCATCGTGGTCGTCGGACCACCCCCTTTGGTGGAAAGAAACGCAGAAAAGGTCGAGATTCGGTAGAGTGATGGAGTGCTTGGCGGCAATGACGTCGTCTTCACGTAGGGACCCATGAATCACAGTCAAACGCAGCGTCCGCAGGAGAGGCGTGCTGTGTAGGATATCGAGCAACCTGATGATGGACTCTGATTGGCTGGTGTTGACCGTATAGTTAAGGTATCGCAGGTCCTGAGACTCGAATCTGCACCAGGCGCCCCTGAGCGTCGCAGACTTGAGGTTGGGAGCATCGATTGGTGGCGTGTCCTGGCCCTGCGCATCGTAGAGCGAGAGAGAGAGCCTCGACAGGTTCGGGAGAGGCGTCAAGGACAGCGACTCCCGTGCTCGCCAATCGAACTCCATGCCGATCTTACGACCGAAGTGTAGCCGAAGCGAATGGATCTGACGAGTACGACCGAAGGCAAACCGGCAGATGGCAGCGTTGCGCTCCCTCTCCTTTGTATAGGCGACGGGGATTGTGGATATAGACAGCGGAGCGTCTCGGGCGCGACCCACCATGGTCTCAATCGCATTTGGGTGCGGTAGTTTGTAGACGGCGCCTGCCCAGAGAGTAGGTAGGGATAGTGCCAGCGCTCGCCATGACCCGCAGACATGGGAGAGCTTGATAAACCCAAGCGAGTACGCGCGGCAACGGAGGCGACGGCGGGGACGGTAGAAGACAAGTTCATTGTCGACAGCGTCGTTGTCTTCATCGAGCGGGTTCTCCCCGTCAGGGAAGTCCTCGAGTCCGAAAGGGTTGAAGGCGATGTTGATTTCGCTGTCGCTAACCCTGTTGCTTTCGCCCAGTGGGATAGCGGGGTCGAAGAGATTGGGTTCGTCATCAAGGAAGACGACGTGCTCGCGAGGTTCGACATCGCCGTGAGTACCATCCTCATCGAGTTCGTTCAGATCATCGAGGAGCGGATGAGGGTCATCGCCGCGCACTTGCAGCCCTTCGTAAAGGTAATCCAGGTTTATACGGCGTGGTGGACTAGACTGTGCGACAAGCGAGAAGATAGCCGCCAGAGTCTCCGGGGAAAGGCGGTGTATGGTAGCGGGCATGACCTGAAAAGGGGCCAAGCAGTCTTGAGCAGGATGGAAGGTGGGGTCAAGCCGGGGATGCCACACACCAGATACCTCGCCTTAAGGCGGAAAACGCAGGACAAAGGATTATGTTTGGCGATATTTGTTGTCGACGGTCCTTTCCATACACGTGTACTCCATACCGCGTGCGGACAGGTCGGCACAAGTTGACCATCCTGGCGTGAGCTCTGGTCCAAGTTCCTCGTAGGTACGACGAAGGCTTGACGATCATTCACAGGGCTCGGGTGAAGATGAAGTTCACCTATAACGCACGTGGCGGTGTTATATATACCTGTACCCGGACTGTGATCAGTTGATTGCTCTCTACCCATCCCGTATGTTGATTGCGGCCTTAAGGCCTTCAGAAGCACCGTCTGATGCAGCGAGTAGAGTGTATATTGACGCATCGGATCGTATTTCCGCTCAAGCGGCCGAAGACTCGCGCTGCAGGATTGATTGTGCTCTCGGTTTACGCCATTCGCTGTCAGAGGCACACTCAAATATGCTCGACACAACTTCGTTGAATCGATTTCCAGTACACGAGTGGCCATGGCCGTGACGACTGCACGCTGACGATTGCTGGGTGGTACCGGGCAGGGGATTAGAGAGCTTGAAGGCTCGCACAGCATTCATCTGCGGTAATCCTTGTATTCGCCGCATAGGTTCAATCGTTCGATGCGAGTAGTTCACCGTTCAGATGTTGCGGCATACTTGCTGCGTCAAGGCGTTAAAGAGCCGAGAGCAGTGTTACAGTAGACCGAGGTGAGCTCAGAATGGACTGCGAGGGCCGTCGGTGTTCGGCGCGTGTGGGTGCCACAGCCCTGAATCCGGTAAGAGACTGTGCAACCGCACTGGCTCGACGGCGTCAGCGTCCCCGCACCAAGTAAGCATAGCGCGCCAGAACCATAGCTCTTCTATTACAGAGTTGCTCAGATGCTCGGTGGCGGTGGCAGTAGAGAAGATGGCTCTGGACTCGGAGAGTCCCGCGCGCGCATCAAGTAGTAGCACGTGTCTCAGCCCCTGGACTGAATAGTGGTCCAAGTTCAGGCTCTCCTCTCAACGTCAACGGCCTTCCCTTTCCTTCTCCCTCCCTTCAGGCCTACGCCTGATTGACGCCCCTCACGACTCCATATCTATTCTACCCCACAACCGACGTTGAATAATGGCTCGCGACCGTCTTGCCGCAATGCGGGTACGTGCGGAATCAACGTCCGCCTGAATGTTTGATGAGCCCGAAGTTCTGACTGTGCTTGTAGGCACAACGCCAGGGAGGCGCACCGGGCAGCCCACCGCCTGCCGGATTCGAGATGGCGGCGCTCCAGGAGCCGAATAGGATAGCGCCTTCGAATGGGTACGAGAATGGGGGCGGAAATGGGTATGGCCAGGCGGTGAGCGCGGACCCTAACGCCGCGTTCTTCAACGAGGTACGTATATTTGTCCTATCACTATGAAATATACTAAATTCGATGTAATGATTCGTAGGTGTCGTCGATCCAGGACCAGCTGCGCGCATTGGATCAACACGTCGCCCGCATCAGCGACTTGCATGCCCGTACGCTCAACACTGCCGACGAGGCTGCAGGCCGGCAGAATGAGGCGCTTTTGGATGAGAGCGTCGCCGAGGCACGCGGACTCACGCAACGCATCAAGACTGCTATCTGGGAGATTGAGAAGCAGCCGACACCGCCAGGCCAGAATGCTATGATTCGCAAGAACCAGGTATGTCGACTGACCGTCGCTGCGAGGGATGATAGTGGAATCTGATCACCAACATTCCTGAATAGACGAAACTGTTGAGGGAGAAGTTCGTCGAGGCGCTGCAGAACTACCAGCGCGTCGAGCAAGACTACAGGCAACGGTACAAGCAGCGTGTTGAGCGGCAATTCAAAATTGGTATGTTCTCACCCATGCCCAACTATTCACATTCTCATACGTATCCATTCTCAGTCAAACCCGATGCCACGCCTGAGGAGGTTCGCGCCGTTGTGGAGAACGATGGAGGAGGACAGGTGTTCCAGCAAGCGGTTAGTCATTTCGGATTGACGTCGGAATATACGTTGACCAACGTCATTGCAGCTCATGAACACGACCCGGTATGACCAGTCAAGGATGGCGTACCGTGAGGTGCAGGAGAGGCACGAAGAGATCCAGAAGATTGAGCGCACGCTTGCCGAGCTCGCGCAAATATTCAACGACGTAGGCGTCTTTTTTCCTCTAATGTTGTCCTCATGAAAACTCACCCCTACCTTCAGATGAGCATTCTAGTCAACCAACAAGACGAGACGATCAACGCGATCGAGACTTCCGCACAACAGGTCGAAGGCGACACCGAAGCCGGCCTGCAACAGACGGAGAAAGCGGTTGTCCACGCTCGCGCGGCGCGTCGTAAGCGCTGGATCTGCTTCGGTATTTTCGTCTTCATCGTCCTTGTGCTCGCCCTCGTGCTCGGCATCTACTTCGGCACAGGCGCGAACAAGAAGTAAATCGGCCCTGGTGTCATTTCTCCGAATATATTGCTATACCCTATTATCCGTGTCCTCGTCTCCCACCCCTCCTTCATAGCTTTGAACCACTTGCGACGCCCCATCCTTCCATCCCTTGTTTTCTCAATAGTACCGCTTCGGACACGTTTGCTGCAGTGCTATGCCTGTTACTCTGCCTCTCTACCTACGACAATCTATATTCGTTCCTAGTACCTCGATCCAAGGCTATAAGCGGGGCAAGGCCGCCGATGTGTGAGAGCTTCACGCGAGCGCGCTGACCCGCACGGAGGAGAACGCGCCTTGACGCGCGCGTCATGATTTGATAGGAAGAAATGTGTGTATTATAACACGCCCGAAGCCGAGCCGCCGTTCGCGAGTTCTCATCTTGCCGTCACTTCGAACACTACGATACGATGTCCAGCAGCACGAGGCGAAGGATCCGGGCGCAGATGGAGGTCTTTGACCCGGCCCATACGCTCGAGCTCGCCACCAGGCAGGGATATTACACGGACAATGTATTCCTCTTCGTGCCCAACCTCATCGGTGCGCGCCACATCCCCTTCCCCCGCCTGGTCAGACGACTAAATCTGTACTTTTTGGTGAAGGGTACACGCGCGTCATCCTTGCCGCTGCAGCGCTGCACTACATGAGCTATCACCCGAAATACTGCACCGTGCTGTATTGCGTGTCCGCCCTGTTGGATGCCGTCGACGGACAGGCCGCGCGGAAGCTCGGCCAGTCGAGCAAATTCGGCGCTGTACTTGATATGGTCACCGATAGGTGCGTTCCAGGTCCTATCACTCTACACTTGAAACTGAAAGCTAAGTTCAGGTGTGCGACGGCTTGCTTACTGTGCTATCTCGCAAGCGTGTACCCAGATTGGGCACTCGGCTTCCAGTTCCTCATCGCGCTCGACTTCGCAAGTCACTATATGCACATGTACAGGTGCGTAGATCCGAATACGCCGCAGGACGTTGTGTACTGAATAATGCGAATAGCTCCCTCGTGACGGGTTCCGCGAGCCACAAAACGGTGCGGAATGACGTTAGCCGGATTTTGTGGTGGTACTACAATGACCACGTACGTCCCCTCCCTGATTCTGCATCGTTACCTGAGCACGTCTAAGTCTATCTCAGCGCGTTCTCTTCGTGATGTGCGCGGGCAACGAAGCGTTCTTCGTCGCGCTCTACCTCGCCCACTGGATCGACACCCCGATCGGCCTTGGCCCGTCACTGATATCAAACCTGACGTGGCCCGAATTAGCCGCATATGTGACGGGGACAATTGCGGGCGTCAAGAACATAATCAACATCGTACAGCTGTGGAAGGCGAGCAAGATGCTCGTGGGTGTGGATATCGCGGAGAGGCAGGCGGCGCGTGAGGCGGTGCAGAAGGCTCAGGCGGCGAGCGTGAAGGAGAGGGAGAAGGGAGACCTGTGATATCTGACAGTGATTTGTTTTCCGAGAACGTACTTTATATTCGTGTCTGTTGTGTGCTGACTGTCCCGTTTACAATACATGTTCTCTTATTTTCCTCAATCAATTAGCGAGCACGCAGTTCGACTCACCGCTCTCAGAGCAGAGTCTGATGTTTCCTTACCAGCACAGCTGCTACTCTTCGACTAGGCATGTATCTCGTGCACATCAGACCCCAGGCCGGTCTCGACCTAGCAGTGGGGTTCGACAGGTATTACGTCCACGGACGAACGGACCATACACGAGGACAAGATGCACAAATGAATGGTGTATTAAATAAACGAGTGACAGGATCTGATAATTACAAGTGATGTAGCTAAGAGAGTAGATGATATAGATGATCACAGAGCACGCGACATCGTAGGGATACGGATAGTGTCGAGCAAGAGGTCGTTGTAATCGCCTCCCGCCTCCCACATGGCGAAGCCGCGCAGGCCGAGCTTCTTGATGAACTCGCCCTTGGCCGTGAAGGAACGGACGTTCTCGTACGAAACCCATACTCCGGAAGTAGCATTGTAGACCGCGGGCTGTGGCATACATCTTAGCATCGGTGTGCACTCGCTACAGTGGAGTACACTTACCGTCTGGCTACACCCATCGAACTCGTAGTGAATGCCCGACGCGGGCTCTGCCAGTGCGTTCAAGAAGCCACCTTCAGCCAGACCCCAGATGTCGAACACGCCCTCAGCGGTCTGAGCGTTGCCGCAAACGTCGGGGCCGGGGTTGGGGTCATCCCAGCTATCGCCGACAGGCTGGAAGCTCGCGTTGAACAAAGGGTACGCGTTGAGGGTGCCGTTCGCGGTCAATGCGTCCTCCTCCGATACGCTGAACGAGTGTCCGTATGCAGGGACACCAAGAACAAGCTTGTTGGCAGGTACACCAGCGTCGATCCACGATTGAATACCGACCTCGGCTGAGCCCTGGTTGTTCTGAGTAGAGCAAGTCGAGTATAGCGGCGCGTTCGGCCCCGCGGTATCGCACCAGGAGCCGTAGATGTCGTAGTTCATAATGGCGATGTAGTCGAGGAGTTCACCGAAGGCAGTCATGTTCGTGCCGGAGTCGCCGTTTTCGTCAGCCCACGGCCCGATTCCCGCTGCCGCGGTCAAGATGAGCTTAGAGCCCTGCTCAGTGGCGCGAAGTTCTTGCAGAAGCTCGAGGAAGTTGGCGGTGTCGTTAGGGGAGATGAAATTGCACTGCACAGCGTGATGAGTTCGGCTGGGCGAGAGGCTACCAAAGGGAACGTACGCCAATGCCTTGGTTCACCGGCGCCTCCCAGCTTCAGTGCTGCATTAGTTCATACTCTCGGGATGTCGTGTCAAGACGCACTCAAAGTCAACACCGTCAAGATCGTACTCCTCGGCGAACGCGTTGATCGTGTCTACGAATGCGGTACGGTTCTCGGGGGAGCCAACAGCTGTCGAGAAGAACCCTGTGGCGAGTTCACCGTGAGATGCATTAAAAGATCAATGTGGCTTGAGCACTCACTCGAGCCTGTCCACCCGCCCAGACTGACAAGTGCCTTCACGCCGTGCTCCTTCGCCGCAGTGACGAACGAGGGGAGAAGCTCGGGCTCGGATCCGTTCAATGTCAGGCCACCGTCTTCCGTTGTCTCGCTACAGACACTTTAGCATGTCATCCTGGGAGAGGAACGGAGATAACGGAACTCACGCGAAGGAGTATGTCACATGCGTGTACTTGTCCCAGCTAAGAGATGACACGGGGAAACCCTGAGTTGCGTGCCAGCCCGCAAACCAGGTGGCTGCAACTGGTTGAAGGCTGTCATTGGCCTGTGAGGGCAGTGTCGGGAGCTTCAACGCCACAGCCAGAGGAAGAGACGCGCCGAGGGGAAGAAGCACGAAGGAATGCATGGCGAAAACTCTGGCTCTCCATCTTCGGTGGCTCTGTCCTTTATATAGGTCGATGTTGTGGATCGCGAGGGCGTATATGGATGGGCCGCAACGCCAAGAGAAGCATCGATGTGTCCAATGATCGGCAGGAGGCCCGCGGAAGAAATATGCGGAGGATGATGGAGTAACTTGTGGCATGTGCTGCTATGTGCTGCCTTGTGATGTGCACTCGACAGGATGCAGAGGAAGCGCATGTACTCGACGGGGTGTGAAGCATGATACGCATTGGAGATCCGAGTTCGGCAGAAGGTCACGGTACAAGGCTGCCTAATGCCCATGGGTTGTTTCCAGTACTGTTGGTGTCGAGAGCGTAAAGGCAAGATACATGCCTATCACTGTGATCCCGAAACCATCAATGCAGCTGCGAGCCGCGAGCTCATGACAAGTTGATCATATCGCACTAAACCTAGGACTCATTTTCATATTGAGTCTTGGGTCTACTTTCCATTCAATGACCTGCGGGCCGCGGAGCAGGGAGTCCGGAGCGTCGCATTTCTACGCGACATGCATCATCGGCCCTCGGTGAGCGTGTGCAGAGACTATCTGAGAGAGCCAAATGACACTCAAGCCGCGTCGCACGAGATAGCCGAGATTGAGATATGCATGCAAGAGGTGATACATAGTGGTGGTGGTCGGAGTGCAAGGCCGAAGCCGTAACTTGGCAGAGTTTGCTTTGCGATCAGCGACGCGTCGGGCGTGAGATACGCGTGTGTCTGTCTCTGACTGTCATGCGCGCCAGCCTACGCTCGCTCTCCAGACCGGCTGGCCCTCTGCGCGCCTCGTCGCCTGTCAGCAGCCAGCGACGTGCCTTACTCTCGTCGACGCGCCCGTCTGCGCTGCCCCGTGTTCCCGCTCAACAACGCGCTGTCCGCACGTCGCGTGGTTCCCGGCGCTCTTCGACATCTTCCTCGGCTCCGCCTGCCGCACCTTCTGACGAACCCAATAATGATCCTTCTTCGTCCACGACTGTCAAGGCTATAGTGACAAGAGACGAGAGGAGAAAGTCTACGCCGCCGACTCTGCCATTCAATGCCGATAACTTCTGGTCCGCGGAAGACCTGGCAGCGAATCCTCCACCCACTTCGTCCCTGCCTCCGCCCGAAATATTGGATGAAGCTTTGAATAATCTGGCTATCGCTCTGCACCCGCAAACTCAACACCGTGCGGCGTTTGGCGGAAGCGCGCCCGAGCCCAGCTTACATTTGTACTCGCCGCTCGAAGGCGGAGATTACGTGCTCGACGACACCGTCCGGGAACTGGCTCGTCGGACGGGCGCGGATGTGGTGGTGCTGGATGCCGCACATATGGCTGCCGGTGCTTACGGGCGATACGGACCTGCCGCCGCGCTGTTATCCTTTCCCGGCCCGCATCCTTTGCACTTCGCCACGAGTACATCTAGTCCAACGCGCAGGGACGAGGACTCGGACGATGTGGAAGAACAGCAGATGATGGCACCCGGGATGGGCATGATGGGCATGCCGCAGATGATGTTGCAGGTCATCCCTGCAAACAAACAGCGCTCGCAGACACCTGCCAATCCACCGCAGGGCGCTCCCCGCGTGTTCTTCGATCTCTTGCTCAATGCATCCATCCCGCCTATTCCGAGTTCGGAAGCACCACCCCAGCCGCGTCCGCGTAGACCTCGCATCATATACGTTCGTGACTTTCCAACGTTGTCCGGGACAGCCTCGAGTTGGTACCCAGCGTTACAATCCGCTGCACGTGCGAGGAGACAAGGCGCTTTGGCAAGCTCGACTGCACCAGTCGAGTGCCCAACCGTGTTAGTCTTTGGGAGCACACCAAGTGTTACCAGCTCAGCGGCTAGCACGTCTTCGCCCGCACCTTCCTTTGGCGGTCGTGGCACCCATGCCGAACTGGTTCTTCGCCGCGAGCCACCTTCGGGTTCACCGTCATCAGCAACACCGAGTTCAAGTAAACCCCTAGCAGACGCAGAGGACGATGCCGCTGAACGTGCTCGTGAGCGACGCCTCAGGGACCGCCTCAAACGCTGGGAACGCGGCCCTTCCGCTTTGGAGAACGACATACCTCGTCTATCGGTAGATGATGTCGACAACCCTCGACCCCCACGCGGCAGTGGACTCATGATTGTGCGCGAACTCGCGAATAGCGCCTTTGGTTCTCGCGTTCCGGCTGTCAGCGGGAGCAACGGTACCGATGAACCGAACGGCGAAGGCGGTTTCTTCCGTACAAGCGTTCTTGTGCCCGAAACGCGTCAGCCTGCAAAGGAGCGTCAGACACGTATCGCGAGGAGAAGGGAAATCAACGCACTCACAACCAAGATGGCAGTGGGCGCCATAGGCGGTACATTGCCCGCGAGCTACGTACCTCCTGCGGGGAATGAGGCAGAGGAGGGGCAGGGAGACGAGATGTGGGGTGCTTGGGGAAGGCATCTGAGGAGCTGGACGGCTGTACAGCGGACCGCAGATCGCGCTGTGGGTGGGGCGTTGAGAGCTGGCGCGGAGATGGAGGGTGGGGCTGTCGCGGTGGGCTGGGCAGACGTACGGAGGGCGTGGAGTGAGGAAAGAGCAGCGCGGGAGGCAAGGCGTGGTTGGGTGAGAGGTGCGGGTCGCGAGGAGGAGAAGACCGGGGAACCTGCAGATGCCTCTGTGAAAGAGGAGGATAAAGCGGCGGAGGAACACGACGCAGTTGTGGAAGAAGTCCGCAACGACCCGGACTTGGATGCACATACGCAGAGGTTACTGGGTTGCATCGTCGATCGAGCCTCTATGCGGACGACATTTGCCCAGGTCCATCTTCCGCCGACCACGATCGATGCAGTGCGGACTATGGCCTCATTGCCTCTGTTGCATCCAGAAGCCTTCGCGCACGGAGTATTGAAGGAGCATGCCATGACCGGCCTTCTCCTCTTTGGACCTCCTGGCACAGGCAAAACACTAGTCGTGCGCGCGTTGGCCAGGGAAGCCGGCACTCGCATGCTGGCCATTGCTCCGAGCGACGTTATGGACATGTACGTCGGAGAAGGCGAGAAGCTCGTGCGCGCAGTGTTCGCACTCGCCAGACGTCTTTCGCCCTGTATCGTCTTCCTCGACGAGTTAGACGCCCTTTTTGGCGCGCGCTCCGGCCATCGCGATTCGGGTGGAGCAGCCGCACATCGCGGCGTTCTCACGGAGTTCATGCAAGAAATGGACGGTCTTCGAAGCGCCGCAGCTGGTCAGGGGGTGGTAGTGATTGGTGCCACAAATAGGCCGTTCGATCTGGACGACGCGGTTCTGAGACGCTTGCCCCGAAGATTGTTGGTCGACCTGCCGGGAGAGAAGGAGAGGAAGGCGATCTTGGAGATCTTGTTGAAGGAGGAGAAAGTAGCGGATGACGTGGATGTTGCAAAGCTGGCTAAGGATACGGTTGGGTTCTCGGGTTCAGATCTCAAGCGTGAGTCCCCATATTCATCGTACGCAGAGAACTCGCGTTACTAACACGTTCTCTTCAGATCTCGCTGTCGCCGCAGCGCTGGATGCTGTCAAAGAGTCTGTTGACTTGCCGTGGCGGAAGACCGCCGAAGGCGCTGAGGCTACACCAGACGCCGAGGCTCCTTCTCCTGCCGAGGCAAAAGCTGAACCCGAAGCTGCCGTGTACGAGGGCCTCGCCGCCGCTGCCGAACCCGTCGACCCCGAAGCGCCGCATCACGCGAGCGAGGCTCCCTCGTCGCTGGGGAGCGCATCCATTTCCACCGACGCCACTTCCGCCACTTCTCCCGCACCAGAAACCGAGGTCCTCTCGACCGAGCCGGCAAAAGTGGACCGTGTACTCTCGGCTCGCCACTTTGCCCGCGCGCTGAAGGAGATCACACCAAGCGCGAGCGAGCACCTTGGTACGCTCTCTGACTTGAGGAAATGGAATGATGAGTTCGGCGATGGCGCACATGGACGGAGGAAACGGAAGACGGCCGTATGGGGAAAGGACCGCTTTGGTTTCACAATTCGTACAGGGAAGGAGGCCGAGCCTGGTAAAGTCGCTGGGGAGAGTAATAAGGACGCGGAGAGTAGGTAGAGTACGCGATATGGTAGGGTATAAGGTTCGAGGGTACACTACTGCCGCTTGTACTAAGATACAGTGCTCTAGTATAATGAATAGAAAGGACGTGTAGACCAATGAGGAATGAAGCGCTGGGAAAAGCAGGACGATAACTGAAGCGAAGTGCTACACTCTGATCGACTACCCTCGCCGCCGATTGCTCTTACGACGGCCAGGCTTGACATCTTCCTCTTCCGCGTCATCATCGAACCCCTCGGCCAGCGATGGTCTTATATAAGCATCAGTATATGTGTTCGAAGAAAAACGCAAATGACTACATACGTGCTTGCAGCGCGGCGGGAAGACTTGCGCTTTCCATTCGTCTTGGGCTGTGTCGGTGCCTCCTCGTCTTCATCCTCTCCTTCGACAAATTCCGCTTCTTCTTCCTCATCCTGCGCCTCGCTTGTACCTCGCCTCCTCGCCCTGGTCTGCGTGTGCGCGTCATCTCCGGCTCTCGCCGCGCTTTCACCCGCAGGAACAAGCCTATCTGGCGCGGTAGACCAGTCGGCCTGACATGATGGGCACTTACTGCTACGCTTCTTGTACTTGTCATAGCAGTGTGCGTGCATCCAGACTTTGCATGCTTGTGTGGGACAGCCGACGCCTTTGGTTAGAAGTTCGAGACAGATTGTGCATTCAAGGAGGTCCTCGGCGTATGTCGTCTTCAGATAGGCTTGGAGCTCCAAAAGACTGCGAGCGCTGAGTGAGTAACGACCTTTCCTGATATGGAAAAAATCGGGGTGAGACATGGTCAGACACTTAGAGCAGGACGCAAGATACGTACCGACTTTTGACCAACCAGCCGCGAGCGACAAAACTAGCAAGAACGGTCTCAGCGGCCGCTTTGGTCATGTTTGCCGGCTTGACGGGGTCGCGCATTGCCGCAATGGATGAAATGCTGTATGCGTTGTTGGGGGCCAATACGATTTCTTCGACCTGTGGTTGCGTGTGGCGCGTCAAAACCAGGATAGTACAGCAATATAGATGGCCATAGTCACACACCAGACCTTTGAAATATGCAATCTCCGGTGGTGAAAGATCTGATGCAACTTGCGCGACATCGTCGTCGCGTCTATTCACCTAGAGAATAGTGTTAGACCGTTTCAAGTGGCGTTCGTACAAGGAATCCGTACCAGTGCCCACATTTCTGCGCCAGTCTCTTCATCGTGTACGCGCGAGAATTCAAGGTCAAGGCTATTCAAAGACTCGTTGACCTCTGTCACAAGTTCGTCCCAGGCCGTATTCGGTACATTCACGTTTTCGTCGATAGCTAGAGTAGGTCTGCAGTCAAGCTATGGCTCAGGCGAGCGGTGGAGTGGGCGTACCCATGACATCTTCACGCGATTTTTGCCATAGGGCCTGGGCGAGCGGCGTGGGCATATATCGGCGTGAGATCACGGCTTGCAGAAAGAGCCTGCGCGCGTCGAGGGCGTTCACCATGGTGGTCAATGTCAAGATGTCAAGACGCGTCGCGACGCGTTTGATCAAACGCGCTTTTGTCCGCCGCCTGGCGCGTGCCAACGTCAACGAGTGACGCGAGAGCGTGACTTGACCTACAACCACCATCATGATACCACCACCGTGCTCAACTCCATTGAGAACTTTCCAACGTTGGACCTGATCTATTACGGTCGTGAGGATGTCTGAAGGAGCAAAGGGAAGCAGGGGTCTCTCAGCGCAGTCCGCCGGGCGACTCGCCCACACCCGGACTCTCTGGTTTGCGTGAGCTCATTTCAGGTCTTGATTCAACTCTCATATCTCAGTATATTATCGCGCGGACTGCAGCCTCGCATGTCTGTGGACGATGGTCAGCACTGTTCATATTTGTATCTGCCATGGGTGGCAGTTGTCTGCGGTGCACCTGCTGCTCATGTCTCCATACTGAAGCGAGCAGAGTCCGCCCCGTGGGCCGTCGACTATGCAGAATTCGCGCGACAAACCGCGCTCAAGTCCAACCGCGATTGGCTCGCGAAAACACTTGGGGTATATTTGGGCCAGATAATAGACATCCATGTCTCCACCACTCTCACGAGCCCAGAGCTCTTCTTGACCTGGGTCGCGATTTACTGTCGCGCAAGACATACTCCTCCTTTCTGGCAGCAATATGTATACATTTTCTTATATGCGCGAATAATTTCGATGCGCTTGATACCAGTGTTGGCGCGTCATTCAGTTTCACATCCACTCGCCTCCGCCGTTTTGACTTCCTTCAACGCGATAGCGCACTTGAGTCCGCAATTGATCACTTCAAGTCATGTCCGATGGTCTCTCGTGCAAGTCTTGCGCTGTGGAATTGATCGTTCAACTTTCGACGAGGATAGTGGAGCAGAGAGGGACCACAGTCATGCCGCAAAGCGATCCTTGCAATGCGCGTATTGCTTTAGCCAGGACCGAAGAGCATGTCGACGGACAGACT